GCAAGGGGTTCAGCGCCTTATGTACCCGCTACAGGGGTTTGGGATTACGACCCTAACTTGCTGCTGGGAGCCCCCCAGCAGCAAGTTGGGGGCCCCCGGGGGCCCCTAGAGACCACCCAGGGGCCCCAAGGTGAATGGGGCCTCCTACAAGCACATTCGGGTACTAATGATGCAGGCGGTTTGGCAGCAGGAGCCACCGACTTCTCTGGGGGAGTGCAGCAGCAACAGCAACAGCAGCAGCAGCAGCAGGGAGAGCAGCAAGGGCAGCTTGGAGACTTCGCAGCTGCAACAGCAACAGCAACAGCAACAGCAACAGCAGCAGCAACAGCGCCCGTTGACGCTCCTCTGGGTACTTGTAGGTACGAAGTGGCTGCTGACGGCGCAGCAACCAATAACAGAACAGGGGGCCCCCATCTTGAGGGTACACGAGAGAAAGTGCTGCTGCCGGCTCCCCAGTCGAACGTGTTGGGGGGGCCCCCCTATCACGTGGGGGCCCCTCCCCCTGCGTATGGAGGGGGCCCCTTAAGCACTGCCAGCAGCAGGGGCCCCCAAGGGGTCCGCAGACGCAAAGTATCTGGATTCCGCGGTGTGCATAGCAACAGAAAGCAGCAGCAAAGGCAGCAGCAGCAGCAGCAGCTGCTTCTGCTGGAGCAGCAGCAGCAGCAGCTGGAGCAGCAACAGCAGCAGCAGCAGCTGCTGCTGGAACAACAACATTACTCTGTGGACATCGACGGCTTGCCGACTCATACTAGCAGCAGCAACATTAACGAGGGGGCCCCTGACATGCTGCACTTTGGGGGGGGCCCCCCAGTTCAGCGGCAGCAGCCTCTGCTGCCTGCGGTGGATTTCCCTGCTGCTGCTGATTCCCCACATAGGAGTGCAGCAGGAGTAGCAGGAGGGGATTCCTGCTGCTGCTGCTGCTGCACAACGAGGTGTGACAGCAGCAGATGCTGCGGCAAGTGTAAAGGGAAGCAGCATATTATACCCCAGCAGCGAGCGCGACTCTCAGATTTTTTGCTGCTATGCAGCGGCCTTGGAGAACGAGGAGCTGCATTTGGCGTTGACGAAGCTGCTGCAGAAACAGCAGCAGAAGCAGCAGCAGCAGCAGCAGATTGGAATACACTAGCAGCAGCAGCAGCATATGGAGCTACTGCTGCAGCAGCAACAACACGAAAGCAGCAGGAGATGCTCTACCCTACGCGTCCGTGGGGCCTCTTGGGCAGCAGGTGGTTCAGCATTCTGCAGCAGCTGCAGCAGCAGCAACAACAACAAGAGCACCAGGAGCATCAGGGTCAGCACCAGGAGGAGCTGCAGCAGGAGGAGCAGCAGCAGAAAGGGTGTAGTAGTACTGGAGAGCTGCTTCTTCCGCTCAAGCGGGCCTCAGATGCAGCACAAGAGGGGCCCCCAGAACCGAAGGGGGCCCCCATCTACTCAGCAGCAATGGGCCCCAAAGGTGTAGATCTGTCGTTAGGAGACAGCTTAAAAGGAGAGACAGCAGCAGCAGCAACTCTTATGACATGGAGGCCGGTGCTGCACACCCCCAGGGCTTCCTCCCTTTCCTCTGCGTGGTGCTGGGGTGTCTCCAAGGACAGCAGCAAATGCTGCAGCAGCACCAGCTGCAGCAGCAACAGCAGCTCAACGAAGACCTGCAGCATGATAAAGAGATGCAACGGCAGCAGCAGCAACCAGACGAATGCCAGCGACGTAGGGGCAGACGATGGTGCAGCAAAAGAGCTGCTGCAGCACAAGGTAGCTGCTGCTGAAGCGAAGCTGGAACCTGAAGCAGCATCAGCAGCAGCTGCAGCAAATATGCAGTGTGCGGGGTACCCCATCAAGGTAGAGGAAACCTGCGAGCACGCTGGCATATCAGGAGGCTGTGCTAGCGCCTCTGTGGCTTCTAAAGATCGGACAGCAGCAGCAGCAGCAGCAGCAACAGCCGCAACCGCCGCAACAGCAGAAACAGCAGAGGAAGCAGGCTCTGGCAGTGACTGCTGCACAGACAGCGGGCCGACAGCCTGTGATGGGGACACAGCAGCAGCAACATGCAATGAAGGCAAAGCAGCAGCAGCAGCAGCAACATCAGCAAGTACAGCAGATGCAGCAAGTGCAGCAGATGCAGCAAGTGCAGCAAAGGCAGCAGAAGGGGTCTCTCAGGAAGAGGGCGCTGCTGCGGCGGTGCGGCACTGGCGGTTCTTAAACCTCAGAGCAGCAGCAGCAGCAGACCAGCTCCAGCGTATACAAACAGCAATCCGCAGCAATGAACAGACTGCGCAGCTCCTTCATGTTGCTCTCCACCTGTGCCGCCAAGCTGCAGCTGATGCTGCTGCGGCTCCTGCTGCTGCTGCTGCTGCTGCACCCCATCATGAGGACTTCACACAGGAAGTCGGGGAGAGGCCCGCTGATAGCCCCAGTAGTGAGGGGCAGCAAACACAGCAGCAGCAATCCGAACAGCAGCAGCAGCAACAGCAGCAGCAGCAGCAGCAACAGCAGCCGCTGCATGGCTCAGGAGCAGTTGCTGCTCGACTTACCGTCTTCATTGAGGGCCTCACGGCAGCGCGCAGCAGCAGCAAGGGGGCCCTCTTGACCCCTGCTGCAGTGCAGCAGGTAGGGAAAGAAATATCGCAGTGGCTGTCTACAGTATGCAGCGATTATACAGCAGAAAGCAAGACCAGCAGCAGCAGCAGCAGCAATGACAGCAGCAGCAGCAGCAGCAGCAACAGTGGCATTGGAAGGTGCGGGCTCAAGTGGGGGCCCGTTTCCCAGGTGCTGGAGGAATGCGCCTCTGAAGAGGTGAGGCTGCTGCAGCTGCAGCAGGAGACCGATGGTTTGCTGCAGCAGCAAGAAGCCCTTCTGCGGGTGTTCGGAGAAGATATTAATTTCATGCTGCAGACAACCAACTGTCTCCTTCCGAATGAAGAGACAGGCGAACCGAAGGAACAGCTAGAAGGTGCGATCACCCTGCTGTTCTTACTTACACTGCTGCTGCTGCTGCTGCTGCTGCTTCTGCTGCTGCTGCACCTGTTGCTTTTGTGTCTGCAGCTGCTGTCCATGCTGCTGTTGTTTGATTTGTGCTGATGCGCTGCAGCAGCAGCAGAGCGCATGGGGGCCTCTCTAAATAAGGAAGTTGAGGGGCCCCCATTGGGCCCTGACGGGGCCCCTTGGGGTCTGCGATCTCTCTTCCTCACAGACACTGCAGAAACTGCAGCAGGGCCAGCAGCAGCAGCAACAGCAGCAGCAGCAGATGGTGCTGCCGTGGCAAAGCTGGAGGAGAACAACCCGAAATACTCGTCCAGTGACGACGTTTGGGACCTTCACACCGAAAAGGTCTGCTGCTGCTGCTGCTGCTGCTGCTGCTGCTTCTGCTGCTGTTGCTTATGTTGCGCCTGCGCGTGTTGCCGTTAGTGCAGGCGCTGCAGAGACTGCTGCAGCACTGGGAGTTGGGGGAGTTGAAGCGTCCGTCTGTTTGTGTGTCTTTGCTGTTGCTGCTGCTGCTGCAGGATCTGAACGCAGCAGCAGAAGCCCCCCGTCGGTCGGAGCATCGCTATGTAGGGCGTCGCTTCTTGGGTGGCCCTGGGGGCTCAGCGATATGCGCGTACGATTTGCTGCTGCAGCAGCGAGTAGAGAAGGTGCAGCTGTTTGTAAGGGGGCCCCTAGAAGCCTTCTGGTGTACACGCTATGGTGAAGGAGACGCTTGCGTTAGGGCTTACTCAGTGGAGACATGGGGCTTCCAAGGGGCCCTTAAAAAGGCGGTGGGCCTCAGGCTTGCAGCTTCGGGGCACCCTTTGGGCCAGGGAATCGGAGACAAGGTGCTACCACCCCAGCAGCAGCAACAACAGCAGCAGCAGCAACTGCTGCTGCTGCAAGATACACAGCTTTCTTTCCAGCACGCACCGGTCTTGACGCAGCTAGAAATGCAGCAAGTGGCAGGTGCCACTCCGGGAACTTTCCAGATGGACGAACAGCAGCAGCAGCAACAGCAGCAACAACAGCAGCAACAGCAGCAGCAGCAACCCACGCCGAGTGATTGGGGGTGCGCACATCTGTGGCCCTCGGGAGGGTCGCCCAGTCCTCAAGCTTCTCAAGAGGCCCTCACAAGCTGCAGCAACAGCGGCAGCATCTCCAGCAACAATAGCAGCAGCAGCAGCAGCAACAGCAGCAGCAGCAACAGTAGCAGCGTATTATCTGGCCCTTCAATGTCTGTTTGTTTGGGTGCTGCAAGTGGAGAGCCTGCTGTTGGTTCAGTAGTGCTTGGGGGCCCCCTAGGAGCCCAAGGGGGGGGGCCCCTAGGGCCCCATGGGGGCCCCCTAGGGCCCGCTGAGAGCGGGCAGGTACCGAATATATCTATGGGGAGACAAGCAATGCAAATGCATTGTTTAGGTGAAGGAGAAGCAGCAACTGGCATTGGGGGCACATGGAATTCCACAAAGAAAGTTAGCAGGGGTGGCTTGAGGGGCCTCTTGCTGAGTAATAAAGGGCCAACCCTTGCTGCTGCTGCTGCTGGCGTGAGGGCCTCTAGAGGGGCCCCCCATAGCTGGCTGCGCCTGGCGGCATATAGGGGGAGAGCAGCGGGGGGCCCCCCAAGGGCCTCAACGCTGCTAGGGCACATGCAGCAACGGGGAGCTTCTTGCAGGGATTTTGAGGGGCTGCGGCTTCGTAGGGGACAAAGGGGCCCCAGGGACCACCGGACCCTCTCCGAAAGGATCCCCTCCAGAGGTCGGCGGCGGCATATGGGGGGGCCCCCTTAGGGGTAGAGGGGACAACGCAAAAGTAGAGGGGCCCCCGCTCGAGCTGGAGCTGTAAGTGCATGCGCTCTGAGAGGGTATTTGCTTACATTGGGTACTCCTAAAGGCCTCTAAGAGACCTGAATCCGCTATCTACGGCTCCTCGAATAAGGCTTGCTCTTGGTGCGCTTAGCCAGCTAGTCAGCGAGCTAGCTGGCTAGCTAGCGAGTGAGCTAGCTGGCTAGCTGGCTAGCTAGCGAGTGAGCTAGCTGGCTAGCTAGCGAGTGAGCTAGCTGGCTAGGCAGGCCCACAACAAGTAGGCGTAGGAGAGGCCTGAGTCTGTGCCGGGACAGCGGAGGCCCTGGAAGAATTCCATCAACGACGACAGCAGCAGCAGCAGCAGCGGTAGCAGCAGCAGCGGTAGCGGTAGCCAGCAGCAGCAGCAGCGGTAGCAGCACCAGCAGCAGCAGCAGCAGCAGCAGCAGCAGCACCAGCAGCAGCAGCGGTAGCAGCAGCAGCAGCAGCACCAGCAGCAGCGGCAACGGCACCATATTGTCACCCACAGGCACCCAATGCTAGTCTGTCTTTGCCTCTGATGAGGACCTTGGAGAGGCATCTCTTCTCAGTTTAGGTAGGGATTTGTTTTGCTTGTGTAGTTTACGTTTGGGCTTTTGAAAATGTCTTATGAACTAAATCACATAAAGTTCATCTAATGGTATTATGAAACACCGCTTGCTTGGCCAAACATAACGCGATCTTCCCGCTCGCAATGACTTGTACATACACTTCAGTAGGCGTAGTAAGAGTAGGATCTTAACCTTTCAGTGGATAGGGCCCAACAAAGGGCTAGCAACAGGGCCCGCAAGGAGTGCCTTCTTTACTTCTCCGTACCAATACAGTATCCTTGCAAACCCTAGAGAAGTTCAGTGATGGCTTCAGCTTGACTAGCGGCAGTCAAACACCCAGCGGGTGGCCTCACGGAATGCTGCTGGACTTCTAAGATAAATATTTGGAGGCATTTGGGCTACTCATTCAATGAGCAGGATATTACCTTCCAGTGTATGTGGCCCCACTAAGCGCCAGCAGCAGGGCCTCCAAATAAGACAGTGAAAGTTTACCGCCTCTACAGCTGGGAACTGGGAAGCTCCTGGGCTCGAAGGGGAGCTAAAGGCAATTTACGTCGCAAGTTGGAGTGTAGTGTATATACACCGTAAAGGCAACTGCTGCAAATGCCATAACAAGGTCCAGTCTGTATACACCTTGAGAAACACCGTAGAGGCAAATGTGGTTGAAAGGTGAAGTGTACATAATATACTCTAGAAACATTGCCAAGAAGCAAGGCTTCATTAGTTTGTGCTTCTTCCGTTCTGCTACGTAATGCAAGCAAAGAAGGATAATAGAAGCACTGGGCTTACTTTGCTTAGCTGACTTTGTTGTAGCTGAGTTTTACTTGTGATTGTTTATGTAATGCATTCTGAAAGGATGGCAGGAACATGAGTATGTTGCTGCTGTTAGGATTTAAGTTGTGGGAAGTAAGCTTCGAGGAGAAGACTCTAAGAGTTCATATTTCTGAAGAATAGGAGGGAAGAATCCCTAGAAATAAATAAATAGGTTTTCTTGCTTTGCAAGTAGCACCGCATGGTTTCGATCCATGGACCTGGGGGTTATGAGCCCCCCACTCTCCCACTGAGCTACGGTGCTTGTGGCGTCGACGCCCTCCACGCTACAGTCTTTTGTATTTATTAATTTTGATTTGTAAAAGAAATGTATTTAAGTTGTTTTCCTATTTATAAAAGCGGTTTTCCCTAATTTAAAGAGGATTTCTAGACCTACAAAGATCTAGGCCGCAGCAGAATGCCTCTATCAGTAGGGGGAGAAGCAGAGGTCCTTGCCTTTCCGCTATTTCAGTGCGTCTTTCCTATTGTTATCAACACATATACAGTAATAAAAATGAATTAATCGTATTTTCACCGCTGTAAATGAACTATGCTCAAACGGAGTTACGCTTCTATGTCTGCCACTGGAGCAGCCAGCTCCCTATATCGAGAGATCGCTGTGGCAGGAAGAACTTGATGTGTTGATGATGATGTTGAGAGCAATGTTGATCCATTTGCCCTTCGTTGTGTCACATACGCTGTCTAGAGACTGCACGGGTAGGGAGAGTCGTAGGTACAGACCACGTAGAGGAGCAGCCTTAGAGATAACCCATTAGGAGAACTGCATCGAAGGAAGCGCAAGACAAGAAAATTCGTCTACAGCCTTCAAATGCACCTCAGCAGTGTCATTATGTTTCGAGCCAAATGAGGCCGCAAGGAAGCAAATGGATTGGGTGTTTTAAGTTGTACGTAACAGAGGAAACCAGGAAACCACTCTTTTTAGGCCGCTTAAGGCAGAACATAGTGGCAAAGAAACAAAGGGAACGCCTACCCTTCAAGCCTCGTGTGTTTCTTCAAGCATCTTCTGCTGCTGTTGCTCAGCAAAGTGCAGCGCGAGACGGTCTGCTGCTCCTCGTATCTCATCCAGCTCAGGAACATCTACGCTCCTTAGCAGCTGCTGCAGCCAAGGCAGTGTCTCCACTGTTTCCTTGCCGTGTGCAATATGAAGTACAAGGCCCGCAGCAGCAGCGCGAAAGCCCTGGTTGTGTTGGGGTGTGGGGTCCAACTGCAAGATGATAGAGAACGCCTATCAAGAGCACCAACGACAACACACTTGTTTCCTCTGTGCCTATAGCCACTACTAGCTGCATGCAGCCTATAGTAACCTTAGCTGCTATACCTTGAAGCAGAATTTGAAATCAACAAGTACTTGAGACACACGGCTTCGCGCGCCCTCACGGGTTTTTAGAGGCTCGGGGGAAGGGCCCAAGGGCTAATAGGCCAATGGCCTCCACTCAACTTTGTGCGTGTGATCCCCTGTAGCCCCCGAATGAACCAGTAGTAGACCAGTGGTCTCTCTGTGGTAGTGAAATAAACAACCTTAGCCTTACCTCAAGGGCAGTGCTGTAGTGCTGCAGTACATGGCAGTCTTCCGCGCACTGCTGCATCAGCTTGAGGAAGCCAGCGCTTCCTTGTTGCTGGAGACAGAGACGAAAGGCTTCTCTGTGGAGCCCCGCCTTAATATGCAGACGCACGAACCACTGCTGGTAGAGCTCATCTTGCCAGTAGCTGAAGCAGCAGCAAACAGCACAAGGGCCTCACTGCAGCCTGTCTCCTCCAGCGCTGGGAGGACAGCAAAAGGCATGTGCCTCATGGCCCGTATGGTACTGCCTCTTTGTGTCCTTTATTGAGTCTATCACTGTCTTATTTATGCGTATATGTACTACACAAAGGCCCCAATTTCTAAAGGGTAAGCAGCCGTAAGGAAGGGAGCGCATTAACCTTTCATCTTCGATGTGGAGGAGACAGTCGAGGGCCTCTTCTTCGCGTCCTAGAGACATCGCAATGGTCATAAGAGACCACCAGAAGGCAGGCTGATGATGGCTGTCGATGCTCTTGAGTTGCTCCCCATATTCCCATGCCTTTTTGAAGTCGTTCTTTAGATAGTGCGCCATCATTAGACTCTCTAACCCTAACATAAAAAGCAGTTTGGTGTTGTCTCCTGTGTCATTAGGAGTTGTTTGTTGGGTTTCACAGAAGTGAACGGAGTTCGTGCTGTTTGTGTACGTACAGTGAAGAAGTGGCATTAGGAGACAAATTGTATGTCTATAGCAGATGCAACTCCTCTATGGTGCCTCTAACCGAGGCAGATGCATCATCATTATCCCTGTTATCTTTCCACCGAAAAAAAAGAACTCCATGCAAGCATCTGCACTGTATGCGAAGGGACAGAAGAAACATAATTTGTCTGCGCTCACGCAACGAGCAAATTTTATTAAGTCCAACACCTCAGAGGCGTGCTGCGTTTGTGTGCATGTCTTTTGAGAGATCCGCGTTTGTCTATTTGTCTCCACATTGATCTTTCCCTATAATTCAACAAGGATGATAAACAAAGAAGGGTAATTGATGCGCCTACTTAATGCAGAGCCTTGGGGTGTCTGGGGAGCTACAGCTGCAACTTCCATGAAAAGACTGTGGGCCTCCTCCAAAAGACATTTCTCCATTTGCTGCTGCCCTAGTTGGAGCAGTGCCGCTGCTTTCAACGCCTTTTCTCTGAGTCGCCACTCAGCTCAAGCACGGAATTATAAACTCAATGTGGAGGTATATATAATACACTATATGTTAATTATACTACAAGAGAACGAGAGGAAAGGTCCCTGAGGTAACAGCGATGGACCTCAACGATGCGCTCCTCAGGCAGAGATATACAACCCCCAAAGAGCTACAGCCCCACACCTTCAAGCTCAAGGCTACTGTAACTGACGTGCATAAAGTTAAAGGTGTCTCCTGTAGAAGAGACAAAGCGGATTCGGGCTTGTTTTGCCTAATATGGTACAGTGCAAGATTGTAGCGGGCCTGCAACCCCACACGCCAAAGAGAGATGAGAAGAAGACAACGAAAAAGGATACACTTAGTCACACAGAGGGACGCAATTGTCACGTAGGAGACAAAGAGGTATACATACACAGGGAGACGGAGACACCGATCAGGCGGCAACAAGGCAAATAGTATGAGACAATCTGACTCACCTCTGGAAGCGTCCTCGCTAGCTCACCGAGCTCTCTTGGAATTGAATCTATTTCAGTGTCCGTAGAGAAACAAAGGTTAAGTCTTAGTGGGCTATAAGCAGCTTGGAGATCCTCAAGGGGTCTCCCTATCTGCCTGCCAAGTTCCTGCAGCAGCTCATGCGCAGCTTGACTCTCTCCTCTCTCCACGAGACAACAGAAAAGTACATTAGAAGCAACAAGAGAAAGCGGGTGTACAGACAAGTAATCCTAAGAGCAACACCATACACAGCTCAAGCGCCCACTAGCGTTGGAGGCGTAGCTAGCACTGGGCCCCATCGTTTGCAGGGCCTCTAGAGGACCCCTTAAAGCATATGCATACAGCATAAGGGGTGCTTGATAAGGAAGTATCTGAAAGACCTCCAGCATTTCTACATTCCTGTGAACGTGAATTTCTCTCTTCAGGGTGAGAGTATGAAGTCGGCCGGTGAAAGGATTTGGTAGGGTTGATAGAGATCGGCTTCTACTCATAGTCTCTGGGTGGTGGTTGCCTCTCTCTCTATCTCTCCTTCCCCTGCATTATTTCTTATCTTTGGTTGGCCTCTTGCTTAACTTCTCTTCAGGTTCTTACCTCCACAAGGGTTTGGGCTTTCTCTATTTCCCCCATCTTGTAGCAGCAGACAGCCCAGTAGACCTTTACAGCAAAAGCCTCGGGATGTACAGACAACAAATTCTCGTACAGCTCTGCCGCCTTTTCATAACGGCGACGAAGGAAATGTGCTGCGGCAGCGCATAATATATCTTCGGTGCTGCCTCCTCCTAGAGCTTGAATCTCCTTATCTATGTTGAGCCACGCGTCCTCCCGATGCTGCTGCTGGGGTCGCTTCTGCTGTTCCTGCTGTTGTTGCATGCGTAGAAAAAGCAACAGGCGGCGTTTCCTGGGCGATGGTGGGGCTTTTTTAATTTCCTTCAGCCCCTTCTCGGGTTGACCTAGCCGGAAATGACAAAGGGCCATCAACAACGGCAACTCCTCTATCTCCTCCCCCGTCATTTCTTTCAGAGTTGACTCTGCCGATGTTGCATCATTTGAGAGGCAATGAGATATTGAAGGAGTCTCAGGAGGGCCCCTGCTGCTCGCTGATGACTCCTCCAGTGGGGGCCCACTGTCCGTCCCCATAGGCCCCCATGGTTGTCTTGCAACGTGAGAGGGGCCCCCACATGAAGCCCTAAAGAGTTGTTCGTAGATTTGCAGGGCCTTCTCATACGCTCCAGAGTGGTAATAGCAATAGGCTAGCCATAGATCAGCCTTAGGCAAGGAGAAATTAGGGGCACCGTGGGCCCCCTTGCGTTGCAAAAGAGACGCCGCGGCACTGAAGTTTCTGCGAGACAACAACTCTGAGAAGGATAGAGGAGATCTGCAAAATCTGTTGCCGCTAACGCTGCGTCTGTTACTGCTAACATTGTTGCTGCTACTGCTGCGGATGCCGGCCCCAGCTGTCTCCTCTGGGGAGGAGACAGGGAAGGTCTTCTCCTCCCCAGCGAATGTTGTAGACTCCTCCCCACCCATTTTTTTAATCGTTAAAAGGGATAACTAAGCAACCATACAACAGCAGAGCGGAGGGGAAAGGGAGACACTTGTGGGGCCCGTCAGGTCTCTGGCTGAGGTCACTACTCGCCCACCTACATAGGCACATCAAGCACTTAGCGCTAAGCCCCAAAGCATAGAGATCGCACGCATAAGATAATATATTTTCTATGCCAGAGGAGCTTGTTTACGGACGTTGAGGACGTTCCAGTGACTAACTGTCGCTCGCTGAGTCGAAGCTTCAGAGGGACAAGGTCACCAACCCGTTCACCCCCGTTCACCCCCCAACTGTGCACTTATTCTACCGATTTTGAGAGGCGCCTAATGTCAAACAAAAGAGAATATCCAAATAAGAGTGCGAATGCATTGAGAAATGCAGGGGAAAGGTGATAGTTAAAGTCACAAGCCAAGGGTTCACGGCAATTTATGGGTGGGAGATAAGTATGTTCAGGCGGGAAGTTCGGCGGCAGACAAAAAACAATGTAATGAAGCAGCCATAAACGATACGGAAACCTACAACTCCAACGAGTTTATGCGTGGGAGTCCAGGGGATGAAATGTACAAAGAGGAACACTTTACGCTGTGCAGATGTTTGCATCCTTGCAGTGCATGTGCGTGCTTCTAGCTTCAGCAAGTTTGTATCAACAGGTATTGCACAAAGTATCCTAGATGCCAGAGAAAGTGCTCAACGAACAGAAGTACAGTTTGTAGTTATGGGGGTGTGGCCAAATGGGAGATTGAGCAGTTAACGGAGCAAAAACACTAGTGTTGCGTTTCAAGCATGAGGCGAGGCGTTCTACAAACAAAAGAGTGCCTTTTAAAGCATAAAAAACACAGAATTTCCCACCCCAGTAGGCTGCGGGAACTCCTGTTAAAAATACGAGTTCAATCCTCGCTGTCCGGCCAAATTTAAATTATAAATTATTTTTTTATACTTATTTATAAATGACAAAGTTATTATAATTAAAAATATATAAATTATGCAATTCCGGGAAATGTTCCTCCCCGTCTCACCGGCAGGCTTACATATGTAAGTGCATAATGTTCTTGGCGGCAGCAAAAATTCTGTATTGTGATAGCCTGGCTTGGTGTCCTGATAGAGTTGGCCTCCAATAGCTGGCCCTTGCCGCGCTGTGTGATGCACAAAGCTTTGCTCGCGATCCTGCGAATATCTCCAACACCGACTGCGCACCTGAGAGCGTCTGGACCTCAAAACCCGGTGATTGCTACAAAGGCATCACAACGGGTATCCCGCACTGTGCAACAAGCAACCACATCAGCACCCATGATGGAAGAACCTGCGCCGCCGCCTGTGGAAACGTGCTCGCTGTGCCCTTCCCTTTGAAGCAAAGAGTTACATAGATAAGGTGTACGGGACAAGGGCAGCACTATCATCTTGTACATTTGTAAAATGACGTGTTTGTGGGAGTGGAATGCTTCTTCCCTGTATTCCATTAACCTGCATTCACCTTTTAGAGCTCAGCCAAGAAAGCGAATAATTAAGAGCGGCAACACGAATTCGCTGTATATTTGTAAATTTAGTTGGAATGTTGCTTGTCTCTGGGAAGAACGATTGAGAGCGAAACTCCAGGTACAATGTAGGACTCCTGCTCAGCACACGCTGACGCACTTCGGTGTAGCGCTTTATTGGTAGCCCCGCGCTTTCAAGTCTTATGAATCTTACGATAGCCATTCCCCTTGCTGTCCTGAGGGTAAGCCTACATGTCAGCGAATGCTGCAATTCTTCCACAGGCCAGATGCGTGAAAGAAATGCCTTTGCTTTTGTAGAGCTATCATCTTCGTGCTTCTCTTTCTAGTAAGGAAGCTGCGGGTACCAAACTCTAGCTTTTTGTGTGCATTATATAAACTGCAGTACGACTTCAGACTAGCACGAAATTCCTCCACTGCCCCCTCGTCGGGGCGCTCGCCGTATTTGGACGGAGGCATTCTTATATGAGCTGCTCTCGGCTGGAAGTTCAGCGAATACTGCTTCCGATACATGGCAACAAAACACTGAGATCCTTCTTCCCAGAAGGCAAACTCCGATTTATCTCTACTATTCGGGAGGCGAGAGGCTTGGAGAAAATATGTGTCCATCTCCGAGAAAAGCGCATTCACAATTTCAGTGCTATACACCAGGCGAACCCCTTGTGATGGGTGGTGTTCGCATTTCGCGCCTGTTCGCCAGTGTGACGGGGATCCTCGATCATAGCCGAGGATTGACGTGAGCTTTGAGTTAAAATACGTAAATATGGGCGTTTCAGAAAACAGTGCAGCTCCCCTTCAGTGGTGTGCTGGGCACCACAGCACGAAGGCGACCTTCCCTGAGTTGAAAAGCTCATTTCTACAGCTCCCGTTGCAGGGCACCCGCACATACAAGCCGAACGAGCCCCTTAACGCTGGCTCGGCTCGCAGCATCTAGTCTATAGGCGAACAGAAATACGCATAACGACTCCCGGTAGACCAAGATACAACGCTGTATCTGACGCTCATTTGGTTCAATATCTACAAAGATGGATGAATGCGCCTACATCTGGCGGGCTCCGCCATAGCGGCCATCCTGGTTGCCCCACGTTGTGGCCCTCCGCGAATCTGAATTCGCAGGAAAGCCTTCTTCGTGCTAGCATATCCTTTTGGCAATTGCGAGGGTGTCCGTTCGGTCTACGTGACATATTTCAAACCATGCTACCCCAGAGCTCACGAACGATTGTGCGCAGCCCATGGCCAGCAACAGGAGACGAGGATACTTTCCGAAAATTGCGCATCGGTCTCCCAACGTTGTAACGTCATCTGTTGTAGATAAAGCCTGTCCACTCTAGAAAAGCATGTTCCTGACAGATTAGTGCTCTAAACGCCAAGACGCCTCTGTATGCACTTTGTCATTACCGGCGTGCTTGTGCGTGCCTGTGCTTTAAATCTGGCAACGCATAAATTCTGCCTCCACGCAGAATTTATTCTATTATCACTGGCCCGTCGCATCCTCTCCACTTAGAATAAATACAAGTGTACTTTGTCAAACTGCGGCTCTAAAATATGGGTTTTCAACAACGAGATAGCCAATCGTGCGTTAGGGCTGACCACGTCTCGGCATCTGGAGAGATCATCGGCATCCCCAAGGTAATTGGAGTGTTACCATTACACAGCACCTCCTATGAAATGGAACGCGTTTCCCAAGCATCCAGAGTGTGAACAACTAAGTGCCTCGATGCCTGCCAGCTAGGCAACGCCAAAGGTAATCTTAGTACCATTCAGCGAAATTGAACAGCATAAAAGACACACAGTATGCTATCTGTGTCCTCGAAAGCTGCTATTCTCTTGTTCTATCTCTCTCAGGACCGGCGACAAAATGTCTCTCAGTCCTCTTTTATCTTCTAGCTAAACACAAGACATAAAGGCGCGATTACTTTCATGTGCGTCTCCTGTCTCTTAAGGTTGCCTTCGCATACCCTGTGGTGAGTGTAGAGATGCCCCGAGGTGCTACAGAGGCAGAATATGGAACTCGCCGTCTACATGATAGCATAGCACTGCGACAGAACCTGGAGCAATGCAGTTGCCATCCACACAGGCATGCTTATACATTCAAAATGGCAGATACACTGCACACTCAACGACCTGACTTAGGCTTTTTCGCCTCTATCTCCACGAACTTCTTCGGTATGCCAAAGTTTGCAATCAGGAGCTCCGCCACAGGCCGTGCCACGTTGCCCTGTCAAGGAAAAACACAAACAGTCAACTGGTTGGTATGCATTGATCAAAACAAGCTTCTACTGTCTGTCTCTCCACATTCTGAGCATTTTCTTGCTATTTATATGCATTGGATCTCCGCTGCAGATGTACACAATCAACATGCTTTCCCTCCCACTGTATATCCGAACAGTTCAGTGGCCGTCTTTATGGGTGTCCCCAGAATAAATAAATCTCAGCCGATCCAAAGCCATAACGCAAAACCCTCTATAAGAGCTATATTTATACAACCTCCCTTGAGGACAGACGCTAAACAGGCAAACTAAACCGCATGTCCTCTTCCCTAGACCGACACGTCATTCATGGCTTCGCACACAACAGGGGGCGATCCACTGAATTTACAAGAGATGTGTTAATTCCGTAGAAATGCTCCACAACGAAGGGATGCACAACGCCCGCAAAACGCAAAAAGAACGTATGGTTGTCGTGTTCTCATATCAGCCCCTCAGCAGCTTGCACACACTTCAACAGGTGGACACGGAGACACAAAGATGCGCAGGCATCTATACATGGAAGGCGCACTTCCACGCACACCCGCACCCACATCCCGACTCCATACCAGCCCGTACCCGATCACGAGGCAGCAGAGCTGTGCGGTGAGCGACAAACGGCAACGCAATTGCCCATCGGACACAAAAACCCCGGAGATAGCCACGCGCTCTCTAATCATTAACATGTCAGTCACACAAGAGAAACCTCGGTCTTATGCACACCTGGACGCAAACAGCGTTGACCGCCTTCGAGCCTGGAGGCGCGTAGAGAGAGGCCGAAGCCGCCAACTTCTTCTGCAGGAATTCAGCAAGGGTCTTGGGCTCGACTAAGAAGTTTGTGACGTTCCTAACAAAGAGTAAGCCAAAGCACATCCAGTAGTACGGGGCACAACTAAAAAAAGCCATAAGACTGTCACCTCCTAATCCTGCTGCGCTTCCTGCGGATGGCGCCGCTGTATCTACTGCTGCTCTTGCTGCTGCTGCTGCATCTGCTGCTTTTGCTGGTGCTTGTTCTCTCAAGCCACGGACTCACAGAATGTGCGTGGCGTGCTTCCGCCCCCCTTGTTTCTCCTCTACAGAAATGCGCACCGGGGCGCAGGGACCTCGCCTACAGCAGCCACAGCCAGAGCAGCAACAGCTACAACTGTTCAGAAGCCGTGAAAGCAACAGCTGCAGCTGCTTATTGAAAATCCCTCCATCAGTGGCGGCCGCATGGACAAGAGCCATTCTGAATTCTTATCTCCTCCAACTTCGTTTATCACCTCCATCCCCCTTTTTGTCGTTTCGAACCACAGGCTGTATATCTTCAAGGTGTACTTACACTATCCTGTCTTGCAGAAGCGGTAGCTCGCTCTCATCTCTCAGAACGGCGTGGCAAGGTTGAGCAGTTTCAATCCATCTAACAAAAACTTCCCCCTTGTCCATTATCTGTTTGTCTTCTCCTCCTGTTTTTGCGTCCCCTCTCTCTTCCTTCGTAAGCACTGCCAATAAAGCACAACTGAGACGGACGGGCAGATATTTTTGTCTCTAATTCCCCCTAGTCCTGCATGACTGTCGCTGCTCGGCCACTAAATTGACAACAACAACGCAGAATGATAAAAGCTAGCGGAAGGCCCTTCCTCTCTCGCCATACGTACCCGCTTCAGCCAGAAGAGGGTCTATTTTAACTGCATTGCCTCTGCCGCCTGGAGGAGGCCCTCCCGTCTGCGTCGCCTGCTCCTCGCCGTCTTCCCTCTTTGTATCTTGCTGCTCCAAGTACTTGCCCAGCACCTGCCGGTATTCCTCGGCGGTGAAAAAGACATTCCTACGGCATCCCAGAAAGCCAGGACAGCGAAACTGAAGGTCCCAAAGGCGATGCAGAGGCCTCCTTACAGCCGCCGCCCGAACACAAAAACGCAGCGAACGTCTACGGAGAGGCCTGGTCACTCGTGACGAGATCCTTAACCACTGAAGTACTTGGAGCTAAACAACAAAAGTAGAGTGCATGACTCTAGGCCTTCTTCACATTTCTGCTTTCGACTCACTTCCCAGTGCGTGCCCCCACCGCCGCAAATATTCTGCAGCACTTAGCAGGAGGGGCACAAAACTCAAAGACGAGGGGACCTAAGAAAACAGGCAGCAGAAGTCATAACAATAGCATGAGAAGCTAGCTAGAAAGTTAAGGTGACAGACGGCTCTCCAGCTAGCCAGCGGCAGAACGATCGCCCACTAGCGCTTTGCCTACTCCGCCAGCTGCACAACTAGCTAGATAGCTAGATGCTACTCGCTGCATGACTAACTATCCAACCAGCCCGTTGCAAGACGCAGGGGACAAAGGAAAACAGAAGCAAAACCATGAGAACGCGATGGAACGCAAAGGGCGCAGGACGCGGCAGAGGCAACGAGACAGTACAGTTGCCATTAGGAAGACCACAACCCGAACAAAAGAGAAGCAAACGCATAAATATGGAGAAGCAAGAACACAAGTCCCTGTCTAATGAATGTAACACGAACAGCCATGCGGAAAACAGCCATACAGACAAAAGCCCGTGCACTCACCCCGATTATCATGCACCCCGTTGACCTACCTGAGGTGGAGGCCGCAGTCCCTACGGCTGTCTGTGTCCCTTTTTGTGCTGCCTCTTCTGCTGGTGCTGCTGGCCCGGCGGAAGCAGCACCTGACGCTGCAACAGGTACTGCTGCCTTTTCCACGAACTTTTTCTTCCGATTCTCCGGCACGGGAGTGTGCTTGCAGTAATCGGGATGGGAACGATTTATTTTTACGACAGAGACGACCCCCCGTTGCTCTTTCGTTTGCAAAAGCTTCTGCTTGGTGGCACCCTGAATGAACTTTCCCAGCTGCGCGTACACCCCAGAAACCCACGCCACACCTCATCTCCACACCCCAATGGAAATGTGCCGTTTCTGTGCACTGTACGCTGCGCGCTCAAAGGCAACTCGGGGAGCACTAATTCCAACTTTCTTATATTCCATACATTTAATTTTGAAGCTTTCAATAGATTTACCTATAATAAAATCGAAAGTTAAAAGCCACATGCTATGGAATGCATGTACAGAAACCAACATTAGCAGCAGCAGCGTAAATTACTGTCCACTCACCTTCTTGGCTGACGACCGTCGGATATCTGGGGCAACAAAAGGAGCATCTCCCTTCTCCATTTTGGTGTAGAATATGGCGGGGGCCTCCGCTGTTAATTTGCTGCAGGTATCAGACGCACAGAGGCACCGGAGAAGGACATTACAGATGTGTGACCTCGCAGAAAGCAAGTCGTTGGAGAGCACCTGACTTTGGTTTCCGTTAGCTCATCGGCATGATTCAATGACCGATCGCACCATTCTAATGAGTGAAGACAAAACCCATGCAGATCTGCACTTCACATTGCCTTCGTTCCGTGTTAACACCATGGTTCTTGCTCTTCCTGTCAACAACTGAGCGCTACTACCACGCGCATATATCCTACTGCCTAAATTATCCAGCACCCCATTGGATGAGAAACTCGAGAAGAATAAATGCACTCCCCCAGCTAAGACTTGCCTGTACAGAGCAGAGACGTCGAGGGGTAGTTGGTCGTCCGACACAGTATGTAGCGTCTCTAACAAGCAGAGAGCCAAGTATTTATCTTGTTCCTAAGCAAGCGCAACCACAGGCATGTCAAGTTGCCTGCGTTTTCTCTATGAATATACATACTTGCAGCCCCATCAGCATAGAGATGCATTTCCTGCAATGCATGAAAATATTTCAGCATGCCAATATATAATATACATATACATATATATATGCATATGCTTTGTACATCTAGGTGATCCTGCAGATGTTCACATACGTGCAGCTATCTGTACAAAGGCGAGCCTTTGCAAATGAACGCTTGGTCTGGCAAGTAAGATGCACGCATGCTTTTTTATATGCTATCCTTTCCAAAGGCACGCACAAGCACACTGGGGCGCACTATAAACAGCCCCTATATGCGTACCTCGACATGCACGTCGTTTTTTTCATAAATGCATATTGGCAAGAATGCATGCATGTGGAAGCGGGTGTCTGTATGCTCATGTGTGTACAGCTATAACCCCGTGTGTCGCCACTCAAGAATGCACAGATGCAGTTACACCGCACTGACAAGCTTGCTAAGAGAGACGCACATAAACGTGAAGATATCTCACCTCCGTAGTCAAAGCCTGCTCTGCTGAGGTTGTTGGGACCTCGTCTCCTGAGACAGCAACAGGGCACGCCTGTCCTCCTGCCTCCTGTGTTCTTGGCTGCTCCGCAGCAGCGACGCAAACCGGCGTGTGCCCGTCCGCATCAGTCTTGGTGCAGCTCTCAGCTGCAGCGTCTTTCTCTTGAGCCGCATCCTGCTTATGCTGTTCCTCCTGCTGCTCCTGCTGCTGCTCCTGCGGCATCGCCCCCGGAAGCGACTCCGGTGGGCCCATACCGCAAGAGGCCAGCAACTCGGCGTCATCTCCTCCACTGAAGACTTGACTAAAGGTAAACAGGGGGGGCAAAGGTGTGTGCTTCCCGTGCTTCCTGTTCAGCAGCAGCAGCAGCAACAGCAACAGCAGCAGAAGATAAGCGAAGGATAGTAGTACCCGCGGAACTGTGGTGGGCATGGAAGGCAGCCGTAGAGGGAAGAGGGAAGAGCAGCACAACACAGAAACCGGCAAAGGCGGAGGCCACAACAATGAAGAAATAAATCAAATATTCAAAGTGGCAATGACAGACGGAAATACACACATGGAGTGCCAGACTGAAAAGCGCACACAAAATGGTTAAGCAAAGAAGGAGAATAACGAAGAGAGGTATATAACCTAAGAGAGGCCCCCAATCGAGACAAAGACAAAACCAGAAGAAGACAGGAACATAGAGACAGAAGAAAAGACAGCAGCACAGGCGGATTTCGTGAGGCGGACGGAGACATTAAAAGTTGACAGCAAGAGAAACTGAACTGCACGGGTGTAACCCAGGTGACTAAAGGATTCAAGAGGCAACATGCAGAAGCAAGAGCACAGAGTGCAGACAACAAGAGTTGAATAAGAGAAAAGGAGTGTGAGGAGAAGCGGAGAAACACACGGGATCACAAGTAGATGAACAGACAGAAAAGTGGAGAGAAAAACGTTAGGATCGAGGGCCTCTTTGCTTACCATAAGGAGTCCCCCAGATAATGAATGAGCTCCAGCACCCTTCCCTTGTCTCCTAGAAGCTCCAAAGAGGGGACCCTTGTGACTGCGCGCCCCACAGCAAAAGGCAAGGCATTGCCTGCCACACGAATAGCCCATAGATCGCCGCATTTAATCGAGTCCACTCCTGCAGCTCGCGCTGCTGCTATCGTTAAAGGCCTGCAAACCCCCGGCAGCATCAAGTCTGCCCCCTTCAGTACGAAGTGAGACACAGGGGACAACAGAATCATTGAAGGAAGCATCCGTGGGCAGCGCCACAGGCCGTGCACCTGCAATACCACCACAGCAGCAGCCAGCACCAGCAGCAAAGCCAGCACGACTGCATGTAGCGCAACAGCAACAAGGGGGGAAATGAGGCAAGGGGAGAAAGCGAACAAGAGAAAGTTCTTGAAGCACTTCTCTATACTAAGTGCACCTTTAGGTGAACGCGACACAGAAGGAAACCAACGAACCGTAGGAAAGAAGACTCCATTGACCTCAGCAAGGTAAGGAACGTCCCCCACAGAATACAAAGTGCATTTGTTGGCGCTGGTGGAGCTCATAAGCGGAGTGAGGCCCCCTGGCTGCTGCGGCCCCCCAGCAGCAGGTGGGGGACCCTGGGGGAGGTTCAGGCGAGTCTGTGTCACTCCCTCCTTTGGAATTAACAGATCGGCTTCTCCTTCAGTCAGCAGCGGGAAGTTAGTGAGCAGAGTTTCGCGCAGCCTGCAGAAAAAGAAGAGCAAAGGCGACAAGCATGGAGGAATAAGGGAGGCAAGAAACAGAAATCAAGGAGACTGCGAGACACAGAAACAAGCAAAACACAACGATACACAACACCTGCCAGGCGCATGTTTATTCTGTCTAAACATGAATGCAGCATAGGGATAGACAAAGGGGTTCTGCATCAAGAAGACAAAATCATACGACGCCCTCAAGGACCAACGGATGCCTTTCTTTCAAAGCTGGCAGATAATATTATCTTGCGGGTTCCATTGGGCGGCCCTTTCAGGTGTCTAAAGCCACATAGCTAATTAGAAATCCTCGCACACGCATGAGCATGTGCCCAGCTAGCCAAACAGCTAGCCAGCCTGACATCCATGCGTTGCTTGCCTTTTTCTGTCTTTGTTGCCGACAGGCGATTGGTTGCCGGCTGGAAGAGGCCGGCGAAACATTCTGCTGAGGTGGAGCGATCTTCCCTGCGGAAATGGAAAGGGAAAGCACCGATGTCAGAAGGCAGTTGTACCACCGGCAACAGCAACAGCAACAGTTGCAGTAAAAGTCAAGTGGGGCCCCCAAACCTCCTGTGTCTACAGAGTATCTGTTGCTATACGCGTCGACAGAAGGTGTACTTTGCAGCGGCCTTGCTGGCAGGCTGGCCAATGCTCGCTGGGGCCTTGGAGTGCAGAAGGAGCTGTGGGCGGGGGCTTGGTGAGAAATGGCTCACTTTAGGGAATGCTGCTTCTGCTGTTGCTGCTGCACTTGCCACCTACTGCAGCTGCTGCTGCTGCTGCTGGGGGCCAAGCGTTGGGATCTGCCTGCGGCTGCTTCCTTTCAAGGACAGACAAGGAGGAAATCTTGGCAGTGTGCCACAAAGAAATCCAGAGGAAGAAGAGGCCCCCAGCGTTTCAGTCGGTGAAGTCGAGACGGCAGCTGAGGGAGTGTTGACGGCCTCCCAGCAGCTTGAGGTCATAAGAGGTTCGCATTCATAATACGCAGCGGTTTCCAAAAATAATTCATCAGACATGGACAGTCTGTAGGCAGCACAAACTCTCGCTCGCCCCACAACGGCAACATTCATCTCTGGAGGGGCCCTCTCGCCACCGGGGCCCCGCTGGCAGGGTACCTGAAGTTGTATGTTCTTCTTTGTTATTTTTCATATCCTTTCATTCATTAAAAGTAGCAGAAGATACATGAGAAGTAAAGCAAACAACTTCGTTGAACGGTGGGATCACCCTAACGGTGGACGCGCTTCCTGTGAGTCTGTCCTGCAGCGGCACTTCTGTGTATTTAGTTGAAACAAACTGAATACGGATTTGAATACAATGTTTTGCTTTTTGCCTTTTATCGTATCTACTGCGCCCGATTCCTCAAGACACCTGGAGACAAGAGGGTTGCCGGCTCGTAGCTTCCTTCTGCAGCCCATAGAAAGTCACTTCACAGGTGAATAGCCTCTGCTGCATAAAGAAATAGAGTGTTCCCTCCTCCCTAAGAATTTGCAGTTTTTCAGCACGGTCTCTGCGTATCATCGTCAGATTCATACCTCTGGTGCAGTGATTTCACAACAGCTGCCACACATGTAGGCCTAGTTGTTGAATTCTAGGGAGGAGTTCATTAGCTCGTCTCAGATTATTATAGAGAAGTTGCATGGCCTAGCAGGATTACGGTAAAGTCCCGAAGATCAGGGAAGGCCCTCATGAATGTATACACGACCGTCCACATGCATCTGCCTTCGCCGGCCGGGGCACATAGTTATGGCTGGGGCTGACTGGCTCAGAGCCTTAAGATGCTCAAACAGCTAGCCAAACGTGGTGCATACACATATGGCTAGCTGGCTAGGCATTTAAAGACTCTGCTTCATCCGGAACTGAAGTAAAGTGGGTACCCATCCATAGCTCTGTACAGAGCAACTGCCGGATCGGGTATGAATTGCTTAAAATCAGGTGTTGCGACCCTACAGTCGCATGCAATCCTGGGGAATGACGCATCTTAAGGAGGAGACTGGGCTGGGCAGTTACGCTGCACAACCCTTCGCCCAGGATGCTGGCGAAGGTGTCCTTAGCTTCCTCCTTGTTAGGCCTTCTTCAGAAGGCGTTTGCTGGAGCGGAGATACGAAAGCACCACAATACGACAAGAATACTGAATCACGGGAAGACGAGGCACTCCCCCACAAAATGGGTATTTACCCGCACGTAAGCATACTGCGCCCGTAGGGCGAAGCAACAGCCCCAGCATCCAAACGTCCTGCAGCTGCACGGAGGGCGACACTCTAGGTAACGGCAAAGAAATCAGTTGTAATCGCTTCAGAAACCCCAGAACCCTCTATGTCGGTTCTTAAAGACAAGAAAGAAAGACTAGAACAGAGAGAAACGGGGACAGGTTCTACTCTGCCAATGCATCGCCTGGGGGCCCCCATCCTTCCGTCTGGCTGAATGCTTTACATAAGCAATTAACCTATTTCAAATAAAGAGATACTAAGTTCATACGAAGGAAAAGGCATGTGCAATTAATGCAGTGTGACGGGCCCACACACACTTGGGCGCGTCCATGCATACATTCAAATTCTAACGAAGTCACTCGCCAACTTCATTGTCGTCGCGTGAGGTGCTGGTACAGCCATGGACAAACACCGAAAACCTGAAGGAAAAGCGAGGCTTCCAATGTCTATAACGGTGAGCCCCCAGCGGCCGACAGTGGATGCTGAGAAATATATACGACAGAAATAAAAAGGAGTCTAAAATGGTGAGCGCTCAGCAGTGGACAAGGGAAGATGAGAAATATATGCGCTAAAAGCAGCAGATACAGATACAAAGAGCAGCAGGACCGGTCGTGCTTGCTGGTATCTTCGGTTGTCCCGATTACCCTTTCTTGGGTGGGGCCTTCCCTTTGGCTTTGGCTTGCGCCTTGGCCTTGGCAGGAGGCTGGTACTTTGCCGCCCACTTAGGTGTGTATCCCACAAAGTGAGACAAACGAACACACTGCGAATTCCCGCAGTTCATGCTCACTTGCCCTGCCGCCATCTGTCCGACAAACGCAAACAAAAGCAAAGCGACTACCCAATAAAACAAGGCCTTCCCTGCGAATGCGAAGGCGAACAACCATATGTGCTGTTGCTGTTGTTGCTGTTGCTATTATTGTCAACACTGTGATACGCTATTTACCTGCTTGAGCATCTTGAGGGATTCATCGTCAGCAAAAAGAAAGGACAATAGTTTGCACACGTAGCTAGGGACAGTCTTATCCTGGCCAGTCTTCTGCACCTGAATAACGGGAAGGCCCTGCTCTACAGAAGTGTCGCCATGCCACAGCACACAGGGAGCGTTGGGAGACGGGTCCCCCAAAATGGGATCGTCTGTAAAGCTTACGCTCCTGCGGAAGGAAGCAAACACGCAAGGCAGAACACCAAAAGTACAGCACCTTGCGTTGTTATGCTAGACAAAGAAACAGAAATGCATGCTTGCATTGCTGTCCCACACTGCCTGCAGCGGCAACTTGGAGCAGCAGGGTGCAGTAGCAAGCTGCACTCAGCGATGTTTGCTGTTCGCCGCCACGAAGTGAAACAGGAGGTTCACGAAAAGTGCAGTAGTTTGACAGCAAGAGGAAATCGTCGAGGTTTGTGCTGCTTACAGCGCTACTGTTCGAAGAAGAGTGAGAACCTGGTCTCTCTCCCAGACCTTGGCTGCTCGCTTTTGAACATGTGTAATCCACTTCTTGGCAAGCAGATCTGCATTGGCTTCGCTATGGGGCTGGAAGTTGGGTTGCTCCTCGGGTTGTTCGGCAGCCTCCACCTCGACTGGCTCCTCTTCCCAAGATTGCGTAGAGGGAGTAGATGCCTTGGAGACCACCGTTCGGTGGCTATTCAGCTCTGATGAGCTGCTGCTGCTGCTGCTGTTCCAGAAGTTGCCGCAGCAGGAGCGCCAGCAGGACATTTCGGCTCTTCCTGTTCAACTTCGAAACCAACCAGACCCAGCAACAGCGATGCCCAAACTCCCCAACAAACCAAGCGAGGTGAATGCGTCAGCCGCTTTCCTAAGCAAAAGAAACTTCAGCATCCGCACATGCGTGCTCATCCCCTCCACACTAGAGAGACACAGTAGCCGGCGCCAGCAGCAGCAACAGCGGCAGTAGTCGTCAGAGGGGAGAACAGCCACAGCAAAACGAAGTGGAAATCCATGTGGAGTGCTCCCATGAGGAGTCGGCCCAGCTTCAGTGCTGCTCGAGGCCGTTTTGTCGAAGACTGCGTAGAAATGTTGCCTGTTAACTATCAGATGAAAAGACCGTACAGGCTGGATGCGGCCTGCATTAATTGGGTCGGAACGGGCAAAGCTTTCTTCTTCCACAAAATATCACTAAAAATGAAAAGCTTGAAAGGAAGGAGTACTGCTCCAAAGAAGTCTAAAGCTCATGGCATTTCACAGACGCCTTCACAGCCCGAGGGCAATCGAAAGGAAGGCACCGAGCGCCGCTCGCACTCAGCGCGTGAAAGCGCTGTGCCTGAGATACTTCAAATATTGCCAATAATCTTTCAAAAGGAATTTCACAGTGTTCCGGAGTGTTAAGATCATCTGAGGTAGACAGGCCGCAGACAGGGCCCCTAGAACACCGAGCACGCTATACATGAAACACGCGCCGAGTGGCTGTGGCGCCGGGCAACGAGAAAGTGGCAATTACGGCTTTCGCGCACTTTTCATATCATATGCATCTGAACAGACAGAACAAATAAATACAAAGCTTTAAAAACGGTTGCATTTGCCGCTAGATACACGCAAGCTCCACTGCCTCCTCCTCCTTGAGAAGCCCAGCGGTCTGTCCGTTGTGCAGGCACTGCCGCACAAACTTAACGAGCGCGGCCCCACTGCGGGCGAATCAACCATCTTAATCTCGCTCCTTTCCCTCGAAGGAGAAGGATCACAAGCGATATATTTATTAGGTATGCACGCATCTATGACCAGCGGCACATGCCACCCTCCATGCGGTTGCACGCCTGGAGGAGAGAGCTTAAAAGCAGCTACTGTTGTGCCATCTACAAATCATTTTGTCCGAAATCCACTAGAATATATTCTAAATTAGACGACTGGCAGCACTCACACGACCGACCAGTGAACGGAATTCATCTCCACGAACACTGTGAGCGTGCTCACAAGCAAGCAAAGCCACTACGGAGAAACTAAAAACAGGTTCTGCTCGTACAGACGAAGAACTGTGCTGTGCTTGCATTTGTCCCCTACAGCATCCAACTTCTTCGCAATTCCCTATTTGCAACTAAACCTCCCTAGGGTGCACGGCATGCGTGTGGTGTACTTAGAGCTCCCCGTTCCCCTCCCACATGGGGGCGATCGCGCATTCATTCTAAATGTAGAAAAGTGAGCTCTGACTCAAACAGCAGCAATCCCTAAAGCAGTACACGGCGCAGAGGCTGATGACCTCACAATGACGTTCGTAGTTTCCAAGGAAAATGGAGAAGCACATAGCATAAATCCTCTTTGTGAGCACTGCGAATCCCAATGAATGTCAATAGCCGAACCATTTGAGGTGAAGCCACCACTCCTCAGGCCTAGTAATCGCAGAGAATACGACGGGCTGTCGACGCAAAACACATGAAACTGCTAAGAGGAGAGGCAGCTTTTCTCCTTGCGGCCATGCAACCACGAAGGCAAGAAGCAGCTCATCGCCACTGTCGCTGCGAGAAGACCAACCAAATACGCCTGCATGAATTCTACGATGCGGCAATTAGCACTGGCAAACAAGTGTGAAACACTCTTCAGAATGCTCCCTCAAGCAATCGTGTGGGGGTCCCAGCAAAAGCGATGCGTGACGCTGTCACGGATGGCACACAGTCGCTTCATCTGATCTTCCGAAAGCTCCACATCTAGCGCTTCCAAATTCTCCCTTAGGTGCTCCTGTGATGTGCTGCACGGGATTACCACAAGTCCCTGCTGGAGCGGCCACCGCAGGAGCACGACACTGGGGGATTTATTGATTTCCTTGGCGATCTGCAAAGGAAGACAGACGGGGCATAAAAACAGACGGATGTGCGTAACTGTAGAAGAGTTCATTAGAAAAAACCTGCGAGGAAGCAATCACCGCCACTGCCAGCGAACAAGGAGGCAGACGGGCGTAGCATTAGTCAGGCTCAGGGGAGAAAAACTACAATAAAAGCTCTGTCAAGCTTCGGCTTATTGCTCTTCGAACAAAATCCCGCACTGCAGTTTCCCTCATAAGTTCGGGTTCTATTACAACCACAACTTGGCGGGTCCGTGTCTCAAGGCAACTGATATTGTTCTTAGTAAGCTGTATCTCCCCAGCTCGCCCATCTATCATTCACTTCTACTTTGGACGTTCTACTCGTCCTCACCTGCTTGACAACTTCATGCTCCATTAACCTGTTCTCCCCAGACCCGAGAGACGAATACGCCTGCAGTGTGATGTTGTGTTTCTCCGCATACGGAATCAAATCAGGCACCCAACACATCGGATGCCATTCAATCTGCACACGCAAACAAACACCAGCAAAACCATTAACACCATGAGGCGTGACCTGCCATAGATTAACATAACAGCAAAGCAAAACTACAAACATTGCATGCTGGCCACAATTCTCCCCTCATCTACACGCAGGCCCGCTACGTCAATAAGCTGGCTGGCTCCTCATCTAAGACGCTAGCTAGTTCAACAAGTTTTCCCCCTTCAAAGCACCCATGCCGGTACCTCAATGAACGCCAAGAAGCAATTTCACTTAATGGGGCTCACCTGGTCCACCATCGGCCTGATTTTGGCTCCGTCTTCCATCAGCTGCTCAAGATGAGGCACTAAAAAATTAGACACGCCAATAGCGCGGACCTAAACGAGAGAGGCGAAAATAAATACACAGAAGAAGCCATTAAATTTAAAGGAGACATTAACCATGGTTGAGGATACCTCAGCCATAGAGGAGCAGGCCTAGGCGAAAAAGGTGATATTGACCCCAGAGGAGGAGACCTTACCCATACAGAAAGGCAGAACTATACAAAAGATCTCATCCATAAAGAAGGAGAATATCCTATCTATTACAGTGGGTTTAAGGCCTGCCAGCACCTTTGTTTGATGGCATCCTATCCCCCCTCACCAAGCATGGGTGATATATGTTCAGACACACACACTTAGACGAACAGGCTGAAGGGTGCAAGATGTGTGAACAACTGTATAGGAGATTCATTCACAGATGCTACATCCCGCACGAGCACATAAAATGAAATCGAAGTCCAGCAGCGATTTATGCCTTGCCTTCTTCTCCTCATATAGCTGTTCCAAAGCTCGCCAACTTTCAATACGCCGCTGTCTGTTCTCGTGGCTGTTGGCATCCACTCCTCCGCTTCCTGCAACAGATAAAATAGTGTGCAGTCCCATTTTTAAGTACTTCCCAGTTGAATGCTCGCAGTTTGATCTCACTCTCTATATTGCATCACACTGATTGCGCTGCGTAAACGCTTGACGTGCAAGTACAAACGCTGGCACCAGCACTCCACCCGTAAGGAAGCAGACTCACAACCCAAAATGCATCTAAGCAGCGCGGTGCCTACATGAGTTGCAGTCACACATCTGGCCAGTGGATGAGGTACAGGTCAAGCTGCTTGACTCCCAGGCGCTCAATTGTCCTTTCAAAGGCCTTCAAAACTGCCTCTGTGCCCTGGGCGTCTCGTGGCTGCAGTTTAGATGTTAAGAAAATGCGGGGGTTGCCTGCAACAAAAGATCACCCCACAGATGGAACAGTTGAGCCTGCCCAGGCGTCTCAGCTGTGCAGCTTCAGCCGTCTACTCTAGATAAAAAATACTACTTGCAGGCGAGACTGACGAACCCGCCTCTTTCAGAAGCTCTCGGATTTCCTCCTCATTCTCGTACACCGCAGCGCTGTCGATCAAACCGTAGCGCTCGTTGAGAGCTCCGAAAACCCCAGAGCGAAGTCGGTCACCCCGAAGGCGCCAAGTGCCCAGACCTATCATGGGCAACTTCACTCCGTTGTAAAGTGTGCGGCACTTAGCTGCCGCCAGAAGGTCCACTCCGGCAAGGCTCGGGCAAGACATTGTCTCTAGAGGTAAGACACAGAAGGGAGAAAGAAGTAAAACAAAATGGGCAATGAGACACAAAACTACATAAAACAAATCTGTTTGTACTTCAAGCATAAATGAGAGGCCGGAGCGCCGCTGAGCCAACAGATCACGATCGAAAATGTGTGTCGAAAATGTGTGTGTATTGTTTTGCGCACGCTCGAGCGCGCAACTGACTCTGAAAGGCTTACCTTCAGCTCTTTAGTAGCACCACCAACATAAACTGCATAAACTGTGTTCATTCTTGTTTTTCTTCTTATTGAATTGAAAGGCACAGCCGAAGCTGCACTTCGTCTAGCAATGACTTGCACTTGACCATCGCGCGAGACTGGGTATCACACACTGCGCTCAAATCGATAGACCCGCGAGCGTTTCTGTTAACCAGGCGCCTTTGTTTCCACTAAGTAATTCGAACTAGTAAGTGGCAACACAATGTTTTAGGGTCTCCTATTCGCATAGCAGTGCGTCAAAGACGCAGGGGAAGGTGAATTTGTATTGTTCGCTCAGCAGTTCTCGAGACAGGCGCCATGTACAGTTGTTGCTTTAGGGAGTCAATGCTGTCGCTGTGCTGCTGTCTCCAACATAGCCGAAAATAAATCAAATTTATCTGCTGTCGAAATAACTAAAACGCATCTTGCAGATGGTTATGCGGGGCAAGTTTCAAGGTAAAGAAGGTACACTAGATCGAAGGACCGCAAGAGCTTCTGAAAAGCAACTAGCGTCCTCCGCCGTCCCCAGACGTTCTGGGATAGCAGCCCAAGGGCATGGCGCTGGAGGACAGCCTTACCCTCAAGATGGTGTCAGGTGTCTGATAAGGCATCTGGCGGCTTTACGTTCGCTCGCCATCCAAATAAGCTATTTGTCGTTCTAAAGCAGGTCCCGTAGAGGGGAAGCGATGCGAGCGAATCCAGGGGGAGACTTCTGGAATCAAGATGAAATACTGAGGGATCTTTAAACGTCCATTCAAGTGTACGGGGGTAGCGGCCAACTCCGAGTGCCCTCATCTTAGCCGGATCTGGTTATGCGCCTGCCGCAGCCGCACTACCTAGGGCGCCAATTGCTTTCATGAAAAGAGAACATTCTATGATTTCACGAGCCAATGCTTTTCACGTAGCTGTTGAAGAACACGGTGTGGGCGTTGCAGGTTCTCCTGCACATTCCGGTTGAAACCACCCCATCCACGCATGTAACCATCCACCGCCCATTGACTGGCCACAAGAAGTAGTGATTGACATGCCATGTCAACCACGCAGGCGCATTCGCGAGCCCAGAGGAGATATGCATGTACTGTAACTTGGGATTGCTGGTATGGAACTCATGCTTGTCCCTGTTCTCGGGGGCAACCCTTTAGCAACCGCAAATGGTGAATGGACTGCTGAACCCCGCAAGGGGTCAATTCGTCCGTCGACCCGGCGCACCAGAAACTTTTGCGTCCGGGTGACTTTGTTTTGGGAGCATGCAAATGACGCACTACCAACTCCTTTCTTTCTTCGTAGCCAGCACCAGACTGCGCCAAAACGCGCTAGTTGACAGTCAAAGTTCGCCTTTTCACAACATTTCGTCGTCTTGAAACCTGGCTCACTCACCCATCGAGAGCTCCGAATATTGGTTGGAAGCGCTCGATGGATAAATTCCATGCAGTGCAATGCGCCCCCAGAATGTGGCAGCCTCCCTCCGGCAGCCCTTTGTTATTTGGTGGATCTGAGGACTTTTCTTTCAATTGTGCCCACTGTCTCTCTTCCTCTGGTGTTAGTTCAATTGAATCCCCCAAAGTAGCTGCCTTCATGTGGCCATTATGATGATGTGCACGCTTTTTCCCCTCTTTTGCTGTAGTTTCCTGTGCCGCGACGAACTCTGTTCGTTTCTTTGTCCTAGCGACACTGGGTCCACTATACCATATAGTTGCTGTTGGGGAAGCTGACAGCCCCACTCTCTCACTGCTTTATGGTTTCCATGCCTTGCTACTGTCTTTTCAAGACCGCATGCATTTCCGCCACTGAGTCACCCACTGCATGCTGTAGATTATGTTGTGATGAAGTGGTCCAAAGTAGGAGTTCCCTACTATCGTGATCTATGGTGATTTAACCTGTTTCATAATCCAGAACTGCATCTACACCACCACATTTCGCGGATTCTGTCCAGTCTGCCATTGACAAAACGCAGTCGCAGAGGATGGGCAAACTAATTCACTGGTAGGTTGCAACTCCTCGCCGTAGCTCCGGACACTAGATTCACTTCACAGCCTGTATGAAGTCACTATTCAGGCTCTTGCTTCTCCATCCCCAAAGCCGTTTTCATGCACCTGAAATCTCGAATAAGAGAAGTTGTTTGTTGCAGAAGGACCAACGCGCCGCTCGGAACTTCCGATGGGCTTTCTTTTTGCAGGATTCACCGGCTGTCATCTCTTCCCCCTCTTGTTATTTTTCTGGGTGGTACTGGCATTCGCAGCCCCAATATCCATAGCCTCTATATCTTGTCGAGTTCCAAATAATTTTTCTTTCTTTCCAGGTACGGCGGTAAGTGGCGTGCTTTTCCCCTTTGATGCATGAGTACTCCGTCATCTCTTTACTTTCTCGGCCGTTAATTCCCTCCTTGAGCCCAGCCAGTTAGCGGTTGCCCTTTTCCACTGCGTAGCCATGCTATAAACCACTGACCCAGGAACTCCAAGCCCACCAAGGGAGAAATGCTTATCAAGCTCCGAATTTCCTCGATGTAGAGCTCTCGTGCAAACTCCCCTCGCTTAGGTTTTCCGATTCTGCAGTAGTCTTTTCTGTTTTCAAAGCAGGGGCAAACCTATATCGTAAAGCTTATCTCAAAGCGTCCATATTGCGGAAATGCCCCCGTGAAATGGTTCCCATCGTTACATTGCCTCTCGTTCCAATAGCAAGCTTTCCAATAACACTCTCAGGTGGATGTTGAAGATGAAAGCACACATCCAGAAAAGAAAGGTTCTCCACTGTCCCTACTTTCCGGCGTCCGTTACGTCTTATAGGGGAAAAGCGAAGGCATTCTTCATAGATTAAATTCGCTGTAAAGATATTTTGTTCTGCATGGCTTGCAGATACTGCTGTCGTTCCTGTTCAGCGAGGCCCCCCACCATCAGTTGCCCCCCTCCCCCGGAGCGAGGATCCTCGTCAGTTTCCACCATTTGATGAGTAATGAAGGCTGCTTTATTCACGAACAAGCGCGTTCCCGAATACTCATACTCCGTCATACCTGGCTGGCCTGGTTGGTGTGAGGATCGTTTCTCGTGCCTGCCCCTTTGAACAATGTGCGGCTACTGCTGTGCAGTGAGAGTCATCGGTCTTCGCCGTGGACCATTGTAAGCCGAATTAAAGTTAAGAGCTAGTTTATATAAGGGCTGGCAACAAGCAGCTGACCCTTTCACTAATGTTCAGGCTTCTTTGCATTGCCAGGAGGTCCTAAGTTACAACATTGTATGTGCTGGGCTGCTTCAAGCATGGCAAGAAAATTTCTTTGGTAAAATTCTGGCCGAAGGCTTCTCTATGCCATCGCGGTTCCCGATAGCCTCGCATCATGAGCATTCACTGTATGCAGCAAGGTCTGCAGGAAGTTGCCGCATGGACACTTACTTGGTCATAGTAGGCAGCCTTCACGTTAGTACAAGTAAAACAACTGCCCACAGTGTTAGTGTATACAGCAAAAGGGTGCTTAATTGTGCTGGCGTGTGAAGGCACACTGCAGCAATGTCTGCAACGACGTTGGGTGTACCCTTACTGCATTGCGGGTCGTTCCACAAAACCTGCTACAGTAGTATGCACGGAGAACCACAGGCGTTTTTGAGTGGTTTGAATAGCAGGTGAATAATATTTTACTTAGGCACTGTCGGAGACGGTGCCGTAAACATAGTGTGCAGTCGCTAAAGCAAGTATGCCTACCACTTCTCTCAAGCTGCCAATAAAGTACGGAAAATTCAACTACCCCTACGTGTCTTACGCACTTCTCTGCCACCATGTAACTCTAAAACATTGTTTCACCAGTTGATAGTTCATAGTTCGATTTACTCGGTGGAAACGACAAAGCCACGTGAGCAGAAACCCTCGCGGATCTATCGATCTGAGCACCCCCCTTAGGTGAGGTGAGCATTTTCGATAAGATTGCCAAATGCAACGCATCACTAGAGGAAGTGCAGATTCTGTTAATATTTTTCGTTAAATAATAAAGATACTTACAAAAATAAGCACCATTTATCGTGGGACTGCTGCGAAAGGGTTCAAGACATCCTTTTCAGCGTTGATGATGCGCTCGTATGTGTGCAAAAAATGCACACCAGACGGAGAGTGGTTTGTTGCGCCAGAGGGAGGGTGCTTTCTCATTTGCGCTTGAAATATGAATACATTCTTTGTGCGGATTTTCCCGTTCACTTTCCGTTCCGTTTGCATCCTACTTCCGGTGCTTTCTGTGCTTCTGCTATCGAGACAATGTCATCTCGCCCGAACCTTGCCGGAGTGGACCTGCTGGCCACGGCTAAGTGCCGCACACTTCACAACGGGGTGAAGCTGCCCATGATAGGTTTGGGCACTTGGCGTCTTCGGGGTGACCGACTTCGCTCTGGGGTTTTCGGTGCTCTTAATGAACGCTACGCTCTGATCGACAGCGCTGCGGCGTACGGCAACGAGGAGGAGATCCGAGAGCTTCTGAAGGAGGCAGGTTCGCCGGTCTCGCTTGCAAGTAGTTCCTACTTTCGAAAGTAAACGGCTGGTGCTGCATATCGGGGAAGCCCTTGCGGGCAAAACTTCACCACTTGTGGGGTGCTGCTGCTGTGGTGCAGGAAACCCCCGCGTGTTCATAACGTCTAAGCTGCAGCCAGGAGACGCCCAGGGCACAGAGGCAGTTTTGAAGGCCTTCGAAAGGACAATTGAGCGCCTGGGAGTCAAGCAGCTTGACCTGTACCTCATCCACTGGCCTGGTATGTGGCGAAAGCCACCTGGACTGCGCTTCTCAGCTGTCTTTTGGCTTGCGTTTGTTTTTTTCCTAGGAGTGAGCGTTAGGTGTATAGACAGTTTAGGTAGCTTGAGACGGTGGAGCAAGTTAGGCATGCTGCTGCTAGAGTTAAAGGAGTAGATAATGCACTCTCTGCTTAACCGGCTGCAGGAAGCGGAGGATTGGATGGCAGCAGCCCAGACAACAGACGGCTCCGTTTGGAGAGCTGGCGCGCCCTGGAGCAGTTGTATGAGGAGAAGAAGGCAAGGCATGAACCCCTGCATGACAATGATTTTATTAGTTATGTTGTGTGTCTGTAACACCTGTGTACGTGAGGCTTGTACCTATCAAAAGCATATAGTGCCTATCTCTGTATATGTCTACATATACGCCATTCGCTTGGTGAGGGGTGATGGGATGCTAGGCGGTGGCAGACGCTCTATTCTACCTGTTGAAGCTGGGAAATTCTCATTTTATATGGTTTAGGTTTTCCTTTTTTTCTGTTGGGATCTTCTGGACAGTTTTCTCCCGGTCTGTGGTTAAGGGCTCCTTTTTGATTCAGTTTTCATCAATGGTTAAGGCGTCCTGGTTTTTATTTAATGTTTCCTTTTTCGAATATAATGCCGTCTCTATATTCACTGCCTCCCGTATGTTGCAGGTGCGCGCAATTGGCGTTTCGAACTTCCTAGTGCACCATATTGAGCACCTGATGGAAGACGGAGCCAAAATCATGCCAATGGTCAACCAGGTGAGCCCCATCAAGTGATGGCTGCCTTATGTCGCTCATTGAGCTACGACCTGCTTGCATATTTGGGGGGTAACATGTCGAGCTAGCTTGCTTGTTTGCGGATATGGGGAGAGGATCCAGTTAGGTCATTCACGTAGGTGGTCTGCGTACTGATGGGGGGAGAGAAGTTACCACCGAGCACCATTATGCTGGTGGATTGTCTTGAATGCTGCCATGTTTGCTCTCAGACTCATTCTCTCTTGTTTGCTGCTGTCATATGTTGCTGCGTTGTCCATGTATAGCTGTACTCGTCTTTTGACTCCATGGACTTTGGTTTTTGCTGGTGTTTGTTTACCCATGCAGATTGAATGGCATCCGATGTGTTGGGTGCCTGATTTGATTCCGTATGCGGCGAGGCACAACATCGTGCTGCAGGCGTATTCATCTCTCGGGTCTGGGGAGAACTTTTTGTTGGACCATGAAGTTGTGAAGCAGGTGAGGACGAGTAAAACGTTTAAAGTAGAAGTGAATGATAGTTGGGCGAGGTGGGGAGATATTGTTCACTAAGAATTACAGCAGGGGTTAGCGTGAAACGGGGACCCGCCGCGTTGTGCGTGTAACACAATCTAAACTTATGAGGGTAACTGCAACCTGGAATGCTGTTCAGGGACCAATGAGCCCAAGTTTGAAACAACTTTGATTGCCGTTTTGCTCTCCTGAGTGTGACAAAAATGCTACGCCTGTCTAGTTGCATGTTCGACGGCAGCAGTAGTGAATGGTTTCTCGCAATTCTTATGAGTGTCCAAATTTACGCTCTTCTGTATGGTTGTACTTCCCCATGTGTGTCCCTTTGCAGATCGCCAAGGAAATCAATCAACCTCCCAGCGTCGTGCTGCTGCGGTGGCCGGTTCAGCAGGGACTTGTGGTAATCCCGTGCAGCACATCACAGGCGCACCTGAGAGAGAATTTAAACGCGCTGGATGCGGAGCTCTCCGAAGATCAGATGAAGAGACTGTGCGCCATCCGTGAGGGCGCCTCGCATCGCGTTTGCTGGGACCCGAAAATGGTTGCTTGAGTATCCGTTCGAAAGAATTGCTCTCGCCGGTTTGCCCGTTTTTATTGCTGCACCGTACAATTCATGCAGAACTGTCTGCCAGGTCTTCTTGCAACGGGTAGAGCCGACGTTCCTTGCTGTCATTGTAGTTGCCTGGCCCCCTCGTGGTCACGCAATTTTCAGCATTTTCATGTTCAGGAATTATAAAGACCCTTTTTCTCCCTTGCATCAACAGCCGTCCTCTTCCCTGTGTCAACTAGGCCCCCGGAGTGATGGTTGCAGTGCGAGTGGCTCGGCTCGGCCATCGTGAGTGTTCGCCGTGTTCAGAATAGCATCAACAGTGTGTGTGTGTGTGTGTGAGTTTCCTTTGGAAACTACGAACTTCATTTTCAAAACTTTCGGCCGTTTATCCAGGTAGGGCTCACTGCTTTGTGAGTCTACACGCAGTTTCTGCATTCAGGTTTTCAGTGGTGCGGATGGTGCACTTGGTAGGTAAACGGGGCGTTTCGAGCTCTCGAGCGTGATTGGCATCCGAGGTAGAATTTAGTTGTAAGTAGCTGCGTAGAGGAAACTGTGAAGGCGGTGGAGGATGTAGCGGTACGCATCGAACAGTATCTTTTCTGGACGAGCAGTTCTCATGCATCGGTATCATCGTAGGTCATTTATCAGTGGGCGTATTTGCTGGTTCTACTAAGCTGTACACTTTAGTTGCTGATACGATGAGCGTGCTGATGGGAGAGTTAAGGGCCAGCCGGTTGTATGAGGACGACCATCTAGAGAGCTGAGAAGGGAGAAGTTGTTGGCAGAAGCCACTTATCGCTTTCGGCACCCACTGCTGCTTTCGCATTTTTCACCAGAAGTACAGCGGCATGGAGGACCGTGGGTGCCGCTGGTTACAAATACAGAGCATGGAAGGCATATAGATTGCGATTTCTTTCCGAAACGAAGGAATCCAGATGGAAAGGGTTTCAGTTATCCACAATGGGACCGGTCTCTTTAGACTTGTGGTGCAGTGACTGCGGAACGGGCATATGCTGGACTTTCACGACAAAGGCTAGGAAACTCGTTTGTATTTTGCGAAACAGGCAAAACTATTTCAAAGCGTCGCTTGAAGTTGGTATATCTCTTCAGATGTTCCTGATACGATGAATCATATCGTCCTCGTACGCTTTTATTGTCGCCTCCTATTTGCTTGACCCTCCAGCCACTCGGCACTCGTTTTGTCTACAGCAGCTACTGGATGATCTAGGAGCCCTCCCTACGCCCTATCTACGGTGTTACCGCTATACAACACACGGCGAAATTTTTTTTGAAAGAATAACGACAATAGTTTAGATGTTCAGTATTTAACGGCCAAGAAACAGCAAAGTTGAACAGTTAACTAGTACTTCTGGGCACAACCCGGCGCGGGCAAAGACAAAGGACAGGTGTTGGCAAATGTGCGTCTACCTCAAGCCACTCAAACTGCCCACTTGAAGCAAAATTTCCCGATGCCCCCGATCGACGAACGAAGTGGCAACGTGCAGGGTTTAGCAATCTGGTCATCATTTGGCTTCGGCAAGACGCTTTTGCAATTTCCGAGACATCCTAATGACGGGCACACGAAGGCGTTTCATACAAGTAACACTCTCAAACTACAGTACACGTATATTTCCTGTGGGCTTGCGAATGTACCTGCTGGATTACAATGGCAGGTCAATCACTACTTCTTGTGACCAGCCAGTCGATAAAGGATGGATGGTTATACAGGTGGACTTCGTGGTTGCTTTCAGCCTGAATGTGCAGGAGCAGCTGCAGCGCCTACAGCGTGCTCTGCAACTGCTACGTGAGAAGCATTGGCTCGTAAAAGCACAAAATGCTCGTTCTTCATGAAAACAATTAGCGTCCTAGGTTTTTGTGTGGCTGCGGCGAGACGTCGAACCAGTTCGGGCAAAGATGAAAGTCATTCGGAGTCGGCCGCTACCGCTGTGCATTTGCTCGGGCGTCTAGAAGTCCCTCGGTATTTTATCTTTCTACCAAAAATGTGCCCCTGGGTTCGCCCACATAGCCACTCCTCTAATGGAACTACACGAGGCGAAGACACGAACTATTTAGGAACAGTCCGGAGCGGAAGCTACTAGATGCTTCATCCAGCATTTGGTCTCGTCTGCAGTACCCGCGCTCCAAACCCCTTTTCCTACTAATCAACGCCAGTTACACTGCGGCGGGCAAAATGAAGGAGCGACGCGCTTAGAACTATATATAACAAAAGAACCAGTCTTCGTTTACAGCTTTGCTCCCCGGGACTTCCTCAGCACGAAAGCGCACCTCCCTGGTACAGAAAGGCAAGAAACTTGCGCATAACGAATAATAGTACCAGCAGCCACGAACGCTCACGCTACGTGCGGGCCTACACAGATAATACGATTACGCATGATTTCCCTGGTGAATCTAACGAGGGTCGCTTGTAGCGTTAAGCAAAGCACCCACTCGTATATATTGAGCAGCGCTTGCAAACCCATTATGGAGTTGGATGGTTTGACAAGCACGCATTCTGCAAGTGCAATATCGTACATACAGATCTATTCAAGCAGACACTATTTGGTTCAAATTAATGTTTGGGACTTATTCAGCTCTCCGGTTCATCCCTCGTTTCGGTAGACGAGCATGCGACACGACGGGAGCCTTCAAGCCAGCAGTTTCCCTTTTCCCATGTGCCTCCGCCTCTTGCAGGGCTCACCAAGCGAACGGCTGCCGGTCCTGCCCTGTTCTGGGAGCCCTGACACAGGGTCGCCCACAGACAGAGCCAAAATGGATGCGCTTAGTACTACACAAGAGGCCAGGTTTCGACGCATTGCAGTTAAGAATGCAAAGCCCACAGCATTCAAGATCAAAACGGCCCACCATCCAACTCACTTTCAAGCAAAGCCTTGGTACGTTTCCCGAGAAATAGTTAAGATACCCCGGCGAGTTGGCCCCAGCTCTGGGTCTGCCGAGACTTTTGCCTCAACGGGTGCTCCCCGCCGGTCCATTTATGGCTACACAGAATTGCATGAAACTTAGAATAGGAAATTCGCAGAAAAAGTGCGGATATGCGCACCGAATATACACACTTTTCTGCGCGTATGTGCATTTCGCGCTGAAGGTAAGTTGAGGGGTTTCAAGCAGGTAGATACTCCATATCCTCATGGTGTTACATAACCAACCTAGCTTTATTCAATAAGCAGTAAGTTGCAAAACAAAGCTGTACGGATAGTTTCTGTCGCAGTGCACTCGAACTGGCTGCTGTAAGACCCCGCACGCAGACTGGTACCCATGGTAATTTTGCCTTCACATCAAACGCTTCCTTCGATCATAAACACTTATTTTTCCCCGACGGGCTGTATGAATATGCATATTGACGACACCTCTCGTATTCTGTGCTGAGGCGCCTTTGTGCGAGTTCCGTTATGTAGCAGGTTCTGTCAGAGGTCGTTGGATGGATCTATACCTGTGTGAATGCTCGCTATTGAGGACCAAGGAAATATGGCAGTTGTCTTCGGTTTTAGTGGATAAATCAAAAGGGGGGGTTTATATACTTGTAGGAAGTGTCGGTAACAAGAATCCTTGATTATACTCGAGGTCTGTCTTAAGTTTCAATAGAGTCAAAGCACTTGACAAAACTTCACCAAAAACAACGGAATTTCTCTTAAGGATCCAGATCTCTTAAGCACATCTGCACAAGGGCACGGTGCAGGTGCAGAGAGGCTCTAGCGTTTCATGCGCGGCAAGGCAACTTGCTGTAGCTAGTACTGCCAGTCCATATGCAAGCACAGCCGAGCCCCCTTTGCTTCATGCGCTAACAACGCCCTCCATAATTATTAAACAATAATATGTCATTAAATAGCCACCCTGCTCTCAAGTAATACCATAGGCACTGACTGCAGAAATTGGAATACTAAAGATAGGTGGACCGAGAGAGCAGCTGATCCTTCCCCCAGTATACTGGCGTCCAGCACTCACTAGCAAAAAACTCTGAGACAATTGTAAAGAAGGGGCCTCTTGCCGTGAGATGCAGCACTCCGAGCTGCAACTCTTGCTGCAAGGCACTCCCTCAGGCAACTCTATCCAAGCCCCCTACCTCTGGTCCATGCACCAACACTCTAGACGGTTGTTAAGCAATTGCTTCGCCCTCGGTACTCAGGTTGCATGTAAGGGGATATAGATGTACGAATAACTTCAGATAGAATATGCTGCAGAACTCAAACAGATCATTAACAGCCTCTACGGACAGCCTGTTGCGCCCCTCAAATATGGGGCAGACCCTCTGAAGTGGTGTAGTGTTAGGTGAGTAAAAATCGCCTTAATGCATTAAATATAAATGCTTTAAATTTCATTCGTGTTTATTTATAATATAGAACATTATGCGTTTGCTGTTTATCGTATAGCTGTGGATGATGCTGCACCCGATCTAGCGAGCGACGGCAGCGCCCGTCGTCCTTCTAATGTCCTGAAGGCCCCTGAAGCCTCAATAAATGCATAAATGCATCTATATACGAATATTTGAATTAAAAGCTTGAAAAATTAAAGAAGAAGGTGAAGACGAAGGGGTAAACAACCCATAAAGCAGCAGACGACCTGTACGGATTTCGTCGCTCTTGGTGTGTGACGAAGCGGGCGGCGGGAAACTGCATTTAAGAAGGCAAAGCATGCAACACTTGTACTAAATTTCATTTAAATAAAATTCATTATACATTTCAGTCTAATACGACTTATTTATTTGAATACACAGAAGGTAGAGCGGCAAGAAGCCGCATAGGTGGTAAGGCTCATGCCTGTCGCGTTAGCGGCCGTTGGCTGCGCACCTGCCGAGCTGAGTCTTTTGCTGTTCTTTGCAGTTTCTTTATGCTTCAGAGGAACTTATTTATTCAGGTATATCTAAGCTTCAGCTCACAGCAGCTGAAAAAGAAGCAAAAGCAGCTGCAACTGCAGCAGCAACAGCGGGAACCGCAGCAACAGCAGCACCTCGTCTGTCCCAGCTGCAGCACAGCGCATGGCTGAGACTGAGGGAGTATTTTTCTTCGTCTTTTCCTTTTTTGTGGAGTTAATACAAGCTTTTTAGCGAATTCTAATCCTCTTGCCGGCCTTATGGTGTACGTACAACCCATATCTACCTCATTTGCATTCCCCTGGCATCAACAGCCACACAAGGCAGCAACTCCCTGACCCCATCCATACACCTGACGCTTATAGCTTTACTTCTGTATTATTTCCCGTTGTTGATTTTCTTTATTTGCTTTGAGCGGGATCTTATTTGCTGCTTCTTTCTCCGCTTCCGCCGCTGCAGCTGTTGCCGCTGCTGCTGCTGCTGCTGCTGCTGCTGCTCCCTCGATCTCAACGAGTAGCCACGTCCGGTTCCCAGCAGCTGCTGCGGTGCATCCGCAGCTTCTTTTTGCATTTTTGCTTCATCTCCGCTGCATGCCATTCAATTTAATCCCGAGACAAAAAACAACAACTCAGTTGAGCTCCAGCTGCTGCACGGCTCGAAGCGACGACAGCAGCGGGAGGAGCAGCTGTTGCAGCAGCTGCAACAACAGCAGCAACAGCAGCAACAACGGTGTAAAATAAAGCGACAACGGCCCCACCGTGCTTTCTTACCGCTGTCCCAGCTGCTTTTTAGAAGTTTGCTGCCGCAGAAGCAGCAGCAGCAGCAGCAGCAGCAGCAACAGCCGCCACCCGCTCCCACGTGCTCCTGCTGGCGTTCCTGCAGCAGAGCTGCAGCAGCAGCGCTGCAGCAGCAGAGATATTCAGGGAGGCCTCTGCGAGCCTCCCGTGCTTCTTTCCTTCACCATGACAGCAGGGGAGCCTTCTCTAGGCCCAGTCGTTCTGCACTGTTCAAGAGAAGCCCGGGGGTTGTGTTTGCTGCGCTGCAGCAGCAACAGCAGCAACAGAAGCAACAGCAACAACAGCAGCAGCAGCTGCATATAGTTGAAGGCTCCGCTGCTGCAACAATTAATCTTTTAGCCCATGTCTCGCTGGCGCGGTATTCTGTCCCGCAGCAAAGGGCGTTGCCGGAGCAGCACAGCCGCAACAGCGGCAGCAGCAGAAGCAACAGCAGCAACAGCTGCAGCAGCAGCAGCAGCACCCCAAACAACAGCACCGCTGCCGCAGCTGCAGCACCCTGACACTGTCTTTGCTGCTGCTGCTGTTTCTGCTGCTGCTAAAGATTTAACACAAGATGACCGCAGCAGCAGCTGCTGCAGCGGCAGCTCAGCGAGTGCTTGGCTGCCTCTTGCTGATATAAGGAGCGACGTGCTGCAAGACCTCCAGGATGCCACCACCAGGAGGAGAGGGAGCAGCAGCAGCAGCAGGAGAAGCAGCAAGCACCAGCAGCAGCAGCTGGCCCTCAGCTGCGAAGACAGCTGCAGCACCCGCTGCACGGATAACAGCGGCCTATGCGCCACTCCTGAATTTAGCCTTCGCAGCAGCTGCAGCAACAACAGCACAATTGCCTCTCCCAGCAGCCGCAAATGCTGCGCAGCAGGAGCCCGAGGGCTAGCGCCCAGCAGCAGCCGCTGCAGCTTCGGCAGCACCGTCTGCTGCTGCAAGAACTGCAGCAACACAGGGGCCCCCACACCGTCGATGTCTCCAGATTGTTCTGTCCAGCTGTATCTGCAGGACGTTGAGCAGCAGCAGCAGCAGGTGCTGCAGCAGCAGGGCCCTGGAGGGGAAACGGTTTCAAGAGCAGCAGCAGCAGATTCTGATGCCGAAGATGCAGGGGCTGCTCTAGGGCCACGGGGTGTATGCATGCGCCGAAGCGTGTTCGTGGAGAGCCCGACTGCAGCAGCAGGAGGTGCTGCTGGGCAGCCGTCGTGTCGCAGTAGCCGCGACAGTTGGCTTGCGGGTGAGCGGCAGCAGCAACAGCAACAGCAGCAGCAGCAACAGCAGCAGCAGCAACAGCAGCAGCAGCAACAGCAGCAGCAGCAACAGCGAGCACGACATGCTAGCGGCTCAGCTTCACTGCTGGGATCATCTCTGATGCTGCCCACCTCTTGTGGGGCACCTGCAGCTCTTGCTGCTGCTGCTGCCGCTGCTGCTGCTGCTGCTTCGCCAGGCGGGTCTTGGAGGGGACGATCCCTTGAAGACCGAGTCATCTTGCTGGGGGACAGCCACAGCAGCAGCAACAGCAGCAGCAGCAGCAGCAACAGCAGCGGCGACAACAGCCACTATCGTCACTGTAGCAGCGTTGGTGCTGCTGCAGGAATTCTGCCGCTGATGCTGGACGCGGCTCCAACGGCAGCAGCAGCAACAGCATCTCCCGTAGCTGCAGCAGCAGCAGCAGCAGCAGCAACAGCAGCAGCAGCAGCGACTACTGTGCCGAGTTTCTCAGCACTGTTTGAAACGCACTTGGCTCTTCCAGATCCAGCAGCAGCAGCAGACTGCAGCAGGAGCACCAAGAGAGGAGGAGCAGCAGCAAATACATCTGATAGCATAGAGAGCCTCCCCGTTGTGCCGCAGCGACGACGGCAGCAGCAGCAGCAGCAAGCTTCTCGCAGCCGCACGCTACACAGACACCGCAGCTTCAGTATTAGCAGCAGCAGCAGCAGCAAGGTGCTGTCTCGTTTCTCCTACCTATGGAGTGGCAGCAAACTGTGGCGGCCGCCGCTGCAGCAGCAGCAGAGCCATCCAAGCAGCAGCAGCAAAGCCAGCTTTGCTGCTGACGTTGAGACACAAGCAGCAGCACCAGCAGCAGCAGCAGCAGCAGCAACAGCATCAATGCAAAGATGCAACACTATTGCTGTAGAGTCCGTTCAAACCGCAGCAGGCAGTACCTCTGCTGCCCACGAAGCAACGGCAATGCCCACCGCTTCCGCTGCTGCTGCTGCTGCTGCTGTTGCGCCGGAGGCAGCAGCAGCTTTAGCGTCGTGCGTTGCAATGGGCTGCTGCTCCGATAGCTGCAGGGGTGTTCACGTGGTGAGGAGCCTGCAGCAGCAACGGCAGCAAGTGCAACAACAGCAGCAGCAACACATGCAGCAGCACCAACAGCATAAGAAAAAACATTCTGTCTCCTACCTTCTTACATGGCGGCGCCGCCACACGGGGACCTCTGGAGCGACAGCTGCAGCATCTGCAGCACCTGCAGCACCGAGGACAGGCCCAGCCACAGAAGAACCAGCAGCAACAGCAGCAGCAGCAACAACAGCAACACATACGGCGACGCTAGCAGCAGCAGCAACAGCAGCAACAGCTGCAACAGCAGCAGGTGAGGAGGGCCCAAGTACTCTGTTCGGTGCATGCGCCGGTAGAAGAGTAAACACGAACCCCCTTGTTGTTGGGGGCTGTGTGTATGTGGCAGCGGGGCTTGAGCAGCAGCAGAAGCAGCAGCAGCAGCAGCAGCGGCAGCAGCAACACCAGTGGCATGCAGAGCCGCAGAAGCAGCTGCAGCTGCAACGCCAACTCCTAGTGCAGCTGCAGCTCCAGCACGAGTCCCCCCCTGTATGCCTTGGCGAGGCTGCTGGTGATATTTTAAGCGTTCCTTACAGCAGCAGCAACAGCAGCAGCAGCAGCTGCAGCAGCGGCAGTGCAGCGGCTGCTGCAGTTGCCACAGATTTAGTACAAGCAGCAGCAGCAGCAGCAGCAGATATGACAGCGTCTGAAGACAACGACTTAGCAAATGAGCAGCAGCGAGACCGCAGTGGAATGGCAGCGAACTCTTCTTCTCCAGCAGCAGCAGCAGCAGCAGCAGGAGCAGCAAGCTCCGTGAGGGGAGCAGCTACAGCTGCAACAGGAGCAGCAGCAGTGGAGGCTGCACCGAATGCAGCAGCAGCAGCAGCAGCAGGAACATCCTCAGCAGCAGTAGGTGCACCTGAAATGGGTGCTGCAGCAAAAGAAGCTGTTGTGGGAGTGACGGCAGCAGGAGAAACTACACCTACTGCTTCAACAGCAACAGCAGCAACAACAGCAACAGCAGCAACAGCAGCAGACGCCAAGTGGGATGCAAGTGCTGCAGCAGCTGCTGCTGCAGTTGCTGTCTCTCTCTGTGACCAGGATGCTGCAGCAAGCTCATGCGAAAGCATAGGGCCTAGCAGCAGCAATAGTAGCAGCTGCGTGTCTCTTGAAGACTTCGAGAGGTGCAGCAGCAACAGCAACAGCAACAGCAACAGCAACGGCAGCAGCAACAACGACAAAAGCAGGAGGCGCAGTTGCTTTGCCGGGGGCTGGGCACGTGAGGGCCCACCCTTGCAGCGGCAGCGAAGCTGCAGCAGCTGCAACAGCAGCAGCAGCAGCAACAGCTATTTAGACCTTGAGAAGAGGTTGGCGGAAGCCCTCAACATTGGCTCTTCTCCTTGCGGCTGGGGCAGGCCAGGCAGCAGAGCAGCAGCAACAAAGTTTGCTGCATCTACAGCTGCACGTACAGCAGCAGCTGCAGCGGCAGATTTGCTGCCTGTTCCAGCAGAGCTGATGCACGCTCCCCGCAACCAATGTATTAACATGCACAGCAACAGCAGCAACAGCAGCAGCAGCAACAGCAGCAACAGCAGCAGCAGCAGCACAGTGGAGGTCGGCTGTAACTACCCCGTGGCAGGTGTTGATACACCCCAGCCTTCTACCCCAGCCTGCGGCTCGTGCTGCCTGAAGAGTACTGACAAGGCAGCAGCAGCAGCAGCAGCAGTAGCGCCTGCAGCAGCAGCAGGTGCTGCTGCTGCTGCATTCTGTGGGCAAGGGCCCTACAGCTCTGACGGGTGCTGCAGCGGAGGCAGCAGCACCCGCTGCAGCGTTTCGGAGGAGTCACCGCCTGCAGCTTTTCCAACGGATAGCAGCAGCAGCAACGGCAGCAACAGCGGCAGCAATAGCAACAGCAGCAGCAGCAGCAGCAAGGTTGCAAACCGGAAGCCTGACGGTGTGTTCGCTCCGGAGGCAGCACAACCGCTTGCTGCATCATCGGGTTTGTGCTCGCCTTCCTGCGCTGCAGCACCACCGCCTTTGGGATTGCCTTGCTGCTGCTGCAGCGAACTGCAGCAACAGATGTGCTCTGACCGCGCAGCAGCAGCAGCAGCAGCGGCAGCAGCAGCAGCAGCAGCAGGGGAGGGATACCCTCAGTGTCTGACGGATTGCAGCGACGTGGATGAGTTCCTCACTCCTTCTCTCAGCCTCCTGCAGCATTCATCTTCTGCTGCTGCTTCTGATTCGCCCGTTGCGGCGGACGATGCTGCTGCTGCTGCTGCTGTGTGCCGTGCCCCCGGCTGCCCCCGCACCAACAGCATAATCCCCTGCGGCAGCCGTTGATAGATAAGCGGCCCAGCAGACACCAGAACAGCAGCAGCTGCTGCTGCTGTTTCGGGGCTTGTTTTGTTGCTGCTGAGCAGCAAAAGCAGCAGCAGCTGCTGCTGCAAGGAGTGGGATGCAGCACAGCAGCAGCAACAGCAGCAGCAGCAGCAATCCTTGCAGCAGCAGCAAGACATCAGGGAGGACTTTTTCCTTCTGTCCCGTTCATTTGTCTCTTTTTGGTTTTTCTCACTTCTACTTCTGTCTCCATTACATGGCGTCGTCTCTTTAACTCATTTTAGGGCAGCCTTTGCTGTTTATCAGCAATATAAATGTCTCTAAGCCAAGCTGCTGCTGCATTTCTATAGGGAGCAGCAGCAGCAGCAGCAGCAGCAGCAGCCAGAAGCAACAGCAGCACCTATTGATTGCTGCTTATCTTTTCTGTGCTTCATGTCTATTTCACCATTTGCTGCAGGGCTTCCCTTAAGTGGGTCGGTGTATCTGGAGCAGCAGCAGCTGCTGCCCGCTGCAGCAGAGCAAAGCAAAGCAAAAGCAGCAATAACAGCAACAGCAGCAGCAGCAGAAACTACTGCTGCTGCTGCTGCTGCGAGGTACCCGGCGTTCTAGACACGCCGCAGCAGCTGCAAATAAATACATTACTTGAGGTGTATGGTCACATGCCAGCATTTCATAATCCACAGCGCTTTTGTTTATGCTGCTTCCGCCTCCCCACAAGTTGGTTGCTGCTGCAGCAAGCTGCTGTTGCTGCAGCAAGCTGCTGCTGCTGCTGCAGAAGCAAACAGAAGCAGCAGCAGCAGCAAGATAACATCATTTTTGTGGGCTCTTCTTTAAAAAGGGAAGTGGCGTAAAAAGAGCAGCAGCAGCAGCAATATGAACTTATGCTGCAGCAGCAGCAGCTGCTCCTGCAGCAGCATTAGTTGCTGCGGCACGTTGCTCGCTGCTCTTCATGCATTTATTATTCTTTCCTTTTATAACTTAAGTCAACTTGAAGACACTCATATCTTTTCTAGTTATATCTAAAGCAGGCAGGTAGGCAGCAGCAGCAGCAGCAGCAGTAACAGTAGCAGCAGCAGCAGCAGCGAGACGTCGCAGCAGAAGCGGCAGCACCAGTTGCTGCTGCTGCAGCAACTGCTGCAGCAACTGCTGCAGGTATGTATAGGCAGTTCGCTGATAGTGATGTCGCAGTAGCGATGTTAGGGGCAGCAGCAGCAGAGTGCGTCTCAGCTGTGCAGCAGCAATTGGCATGGAGACAGAGGAACAGGAAGCAAAACAAAAGCAGCAACAACAGCAGCTGCAGACCAGCAGCAGCAGCAGCAGCTGCTGCTGCTGCGAGGTTTAGGGCGTTCAAAAGACGCTAACAGACACTGGAGAAGGAAGAGATGCACCAGATAAAGATTGAGGCCTGCAAAGCTACGCTGCTGCTGCGTCTCCATAGGCAAGCAACAGCAGCAGCGGCAGCAGCTAGCACCAGCAGTACCACCAACTAGTAGCACCAGACAGGACACCAGCAACTGCAGCACTCCACAGGCCCCCAGCAGCGGCCAGCAGCGCTAGACAAAATACTAGCAACAGAAGCAGCAGCAGCAGCAGCAGCAGCAAAGCAAAGCAGAGTAGAAGCGTAGCGATGTTTGACTTATTATGAAGTTTCCCCAAATGTCTGTTCTTTGCTTCCGCCGCTCGATTGAAGGCCAGTGAACAGGCCCCGGTGTATGTGCAGCTGCAGCAACGCCTTGGGGTGTACATGCAGCAGCAGCAATGCCTTGGGGTGTATGTGCAGCTGCACAAATATGCCTTGGGCCCCCACAGCTGTTTGAAAGAGGGGGGCCCTACGATGTATATACACTGAAAACTTTGCGGGCCCTTCGCTGTACCCTCTTGACTACCCCATGTACCCTAGGGGGCCCCCAGCATCCTAGGGGGCCCCCTACTGTACTACTGGGGGGCCCCAAAGGGTGCTTACTACCGGGGTACTTACTACTGGGGGGCCCCCATGGGTACTACCATGGGACCTTCGAGGGTACTGGGGCCCCCAAAGGGTCAGGGGGCCTCCAATGCCACAGGGGGCCCCCAGTGGTAGTTAGGGGTCTAGGGGCCCCCAATGGTACTGGGGGCCCCCAAGGGTACTGGGGGACCCCAAGGGTACTGGGGGTCCCCAATGGTACTGGGGGTCCCCAATGGTACTGGGGGCCCCCAATGGTAGTGGGGGCCCCCAATGGTACTGGGGACCCCTAAAGGTACTGGGGGCCCCTAAAGGTACTGGGGGCCCCTAAAGGTACTGGGGGCCCCTAAAGGTACTGGGGGCCCCCAAAGGTAGTGGGGGCCCCCAAAGGCAGTGGGGGCCCCCAAAGGTAGTGGGGGCCCCCAAAGGTAGTGGGGGCCCCCAAAGGTAGTGGGGGCCCCCAAAGGTAGTTTATATTAGGCTGATGGCTGAGGACGGGGTTTGGGTCTGAGAAAATGATAATGAAAGGGGGGCCCCTGAATGCAGCAGGGCCTCATCTCTAGTTTGGGGTTAAGAGGAAAGAGAGCGCGAGACACCAGAGACAAAGGGAAGTCGCCTATGGTGCCGCTTTGCTGCTGCGGCCGCTGCTGCTGCTGCTGCTGCTGCTGCTGCAGCACCGACAAAAGAGGCTTCTGAACGTGGTCTTGACAGTTAATGACCTCCAAGTGTCCCTTAGATGGTGCTGCTGCTGCTGCTGTTGCAAGAGCAGTAGCAGCAGCAGCAGCCATCAGCTGCAGCGACCGCTCTGCTGCAGGAGACGGGGACCTCGCTCGGCTGTCTGCAGAGACACCGCAGAGCACCGCAGTGTGGGGTGTATAAACAGGTGAAACTAGGGTTTAGGGTTTAGGGTTTAGGGTTTAGGTTAAGGGGTTTTATGGTACGCTAGCCCCGTCTGGATGCAATAAATGCGGTGTATGTGCAGCTCTTCTCTTTAACCTCTTTTGCTTGCGGTGTACAGACACCTCAACAAACAGTTCAGGTATTTCTATTTAAAAGAAAGCAAAAAGACAGGAAATGAATATAAAAAGAAGAGAGAAGAAAAAGAAGAAGAGAAGGATTGATAGACCTCCGTGCATGCATTTTGAATAATATTTTTGGGGCTTTGTTTGATTATTATTTACCTGTAAACTGTCGGAGATCGTCTGGGGGAGGCGAATATAATAAATTAATAAATACATAAGAAAAGAAAACAGCAGCAACAACAACCAGCAGCAACACCGGTAGAGACAGAGCCCAATACCTGCAGAGAAGAGACAAACAAAAGGAGACAGCTTAATAAGCAGAGACAGAAGAAGAGACAGATAAAATATAAACAACAATTAAAACAGATAATACACAGAGACATATAACAGAGACAGATAATAAACAGAGACAGAAAAGGAGACAGATAAAAGACAGAGGCAGAAGCTGCACTGAGAACAATATAATAAATATAAAAGCAGAAGTATATAATATACTCGCATGCATGCTATATGTATAATGTATTTAAACATAAATGCGTTTTCATAATATATATAATATATATACATATAAATATATATATTTATATATATGCATATATATATCATATATTTGCATATATATATACATATATATATATATATACATATATATATGCATATATATCATATATATATATATGTATATATATACATATGCACATATATATATATATATAATATATAAATATTATATATATTATATATAAAGTCTAACCTATCAGGGTAATAGCTAAACCCTAGGGTTTCGAGCTGCTCTCTACTGGAGACAGCCCAAAGAAGATACGCAAAAAAAGCAGCAAACGAAGCCAACCAACCGACGAAGCCGTTGACTTCTGCTGATGTGCTGTCCCCCATTGAAGAAGAAGCAAAGAAAATATAATTTTATTTATCTATTCATCTATATCTATATTATTATTTTTATTTTTATTATTATTTTATTATTATTATTATTTTTATTTTTATTATTATTCAGCAATGGTATTAATTTTTTAAGTTTTTAAAGTATATAAATAATTTTATAATTATTTATATATATATATATATACATGTATATATATATATAAATATGTATATATATATATATACATATATACATATATATATATATATGTATATATATAATGTAAGAAAGGAGAGCAATAAATAAATAAATAAACAGATAAATAAATAAATAAATAAATAAACAGAAAGCAGATAATCAAAAGAAACAAATAAACAGAAAGAGATGAAACAAACAAACAAACAAAGAAAGAAATAAACAAATAAACAAATAAAGAAATAAACAAATAAACAATAAACAAATAAACAAATAAACAAAAAGTAGGAGATCGAAGTGAGAGACAAACAAAGACGGAAAACGAAGAGAAGGAGACAGGGAAAGAGACAGCGCAGCAATTAGAGACAACAGCAGCAAATAAATAAAGAAATAAATTAATTAATTAATTAATTAACTAATTAATTAATTAATTAAAGACAAGCAGCAGATGCAGAGAGTGAAGGGCTCAGCCCCAAAGCGGAGATAAGAGAAATAAACGAAGAGACAGAGAAAGAAACAAAGCAAAAAGAAAGGAGACAGATGGATCCCTCCCGCTGCTGCTACTGTTGCTGCTGTTGCTGCTGTTGTTGCTGTTGTTGCTGCTGTTTGTTCCCCCGTGCTGCAGCAGCAGCAAATACCCCAGCCGCTGCTGCTGCTGCTGCTGCTGTGTAATCCTGCTGCTGCTTGTGAGTTGCGTTGGACTTCCTTCGGTGTCACTAGCGCAGGAAGAAAAGGAGAGAAAGTGCAGCTGCAGCAGCAGCAGCAGCAGCAGCAGCAGCAGCAGCAGCAGGGCACTGAACAAGGGAGAGCCGCAGAAGCAGCAAAATAGAAGAAAAAACAAACAAAATGAAGCCCCCTCTGTACACACAGCTTTAATTTACACTCAAAACAAAAACAAAATCAAAGAAAAGACAAAAGGTGTTTCCAGCTCAGCAGGGCGGGGGGCCCCCTGCAGCAGCAGCAGCAGCAGCAGCAGCAGCAGCAGCCGATGCTGCTGCTGCTGCTGCTGCTGTTAATTACCTCTGTTTTCGCTATTGAGGAACAGTTATACCGCTCATATATATTTCCGTTTTTTAAATATTTTCACAGAGACAAACCTGTAAATAATGTGCCCTGCAGCAGCAGCAAAGACCGACAACGACTCTGCTGCTGCTGCAGCAACAGCAGCAGCAGCAACAACAGCAACAACAGCAGCAACAGCAGCAACAGGCGATGATGACACACAAACCTTTCCCTCTCCTCCTCCGGAAGTCAAGCAAATGGTGATGGAGCAGGAAACAGGTTCGTCGCTGCTGCTGCTCCTGCTGCTGCTGTCGCTGTTGCTGCTGCTGTTGCTGCCGCCGCTGCTGCTGTCGCTACTGCAGCGCCAATCGCTGCTGCTGCCGCCGCTGCTGCCGCTGCAGCGTCTTCCGTTGCTGCTGCTGCGCTATCTAGTGGCCTCCAGGAGGCAGTTGGACGGAGATAGTGAGGGGAAATGCAGCCAGGCAAACAGCAGCAGCAGCAGCAGCAGGTGCCGCAGCAGCAGCAGCAAGCGAGACACTAGAAGAGAGGGTAGACCTGGATCGGGCTTCAGACACCGCCCTTCACTCCAGCATCCACGAGAGAAACAGTTGCATAGCGGAGTCAGAGTAGAGTGCTGCTGCTTCAGCTGCTGCTGTAGCACCAACAACAACCGCTGCTGCTTCATGGGGTATAGCTGCTTACAGCGCCACCTCTATTGGGGCTGCTACAATGAGTCTGTCCTTGCAGCTGTTGCTGCTGCTGCGTTGCTACCGCTGCTGCTGCTGCTGCTGCAATTTGCTGCTTGACATGTTTTTTGTTTTCAACGCCCGCAGAAGTCGCTGATAAACTCCGAGAGGCGGAAGAGAAGAAGGAGAAAGGAAATGCACTTTGGAAGCAGGTGAGGTCCTGCAGCAGCAGCAGCAGCAGCAGCAGCAGCAGCAGGAGCTGCTGCTGCAGGAGCAGGAGCTGCTGCTGATGCTGTTACAGCGGGGGTTGGCTGAGTGTTCTGCCCTGCTGCTGTCGCTTCCGTTTGTCCTGGTGCTGCTGCTGCTGCTGCTGCTGCTCAAGCTTCCCTTCTTGATGCTGCTGCCTTTGCTGCTTGTCTTGCTCTTGCTGCTGTATTGCTGCTGCTGCTGCTGCTGCCGCTGCTGCTGCTGACCTCAGGGCGATGATGAGGGTGCTGTGAAAGAGTGGCAGGGAGCCCTTAAGATTTGCTTTTCTCTGGCCTGCCGCGGTTAGCTGCTGCTGCTGCTGCTGCTGTCCTTGTTATTGTTGCTAATGCTGTTTGCGTATGCTTCTGCTGCTGTTGCTGTTTCTTTTTCTTATTGCTGCTGCTGCTGTTTGTGTATGCTTCTGCTGCTGTTGCTGTTTGTTTCTGTTGTTATTGCTGCTGCTGCTGCCTACGTGTGTTGCTGCTGCTGACTACTTCCAGCAGCAGCAACAGCAGCAGCAGCAACAGCAGCAGCAGCAGCAGCAGCAGTAGTAGTATTAATGTTGTAGGCTGCCTCTCTTCAGTTAGTGTGTCTCATTGGTTGTTTGTTTATCTTTTGCTGCTTTCAAATATACACACGCATTCTGCTGCTTCTGTGTCTCTTTCTTTTGTCTCCTTTTGCTGCTCTCTCCTTGCTGCTGCTGTCTCTTCGTTGCTGCTGCTGTCTCTTCGTTGCTGCTGCTGTCTCTTCGTTGCTGCTGCTTTTCTTTGGTTCATTATCACCACCTTGTGGCTGCACTTTCCTTGCTGCTGCTGTTTCCTAAACACCTTGCTGCTATTGCTGCTGCTGCTGTTGCTGCTGCTGCTGCTGCTGTTGCTGCTGCTGTTGCTATTCAGGGCCCCACATGGGTGCGGATTTGGTTCCTTTGGAGCTGCTTATACACCTGAATTTAGCTGCTGCTGCACTGAAGAGACAGGAAGCACATACCGCTATTCATCACTGCAGCAGAGTGCTGCAGCTGAATAAGAGACACCCTAAGGCCCTCTATAGACTAGCAAAGGCCCACCTCCTCATCGGTGTAGGTGCTTCCTGCTGCTGCTGCTGCTGTTGCTGCTGCTTGTGCTGCTGCTGCTTGTGCTGCTGCTGATTGTGCTGCTGCTGCTGCTCGTGCTGCTGCAGCCGCTGCTTTGGGTGTTGCTGCTGCAAGCAGCAGCTTCTTTTGCTGCCGCAGCATTCCCTTCTTCTATCGTTGCACCAGCAAATGCTGCTGCTGCATGCGGAGCTGCTGCTGCTGCTGCTGCAGGAATTTGAAGAGGCAGCAGCAGCAGCAGCAGAGCTGCTGGAAGCACAACCAGGCGACCCTCTTGCGATATCACTGCAGCAGCAAATAGCGAGGGAAGAAGAAATGCACAAAAGGCAGCAGAAACAGCTGCTGAGAAAAATGATGGGTGCATCACCTCGCAGCAGCAGCAGCAGCAGCAGCAGCAGCAGCAACAGCAACAGCAACAGCAGCAGCAGCGACAACAGCAACAAGGCCAGCAACAATGTCGCCTCTGATACCCCCACAAGGGACTCCGGCGATGGTAAACACAGCAGCAGCAACAGCAACAGCAGCAACAGCAGCAACAGCAGCAGCAGCAGCAGCAGCAGCAGCAGCAAGAGTTTTATGTGGGACATACAATGGAGACAAGAAGATAAAGATTTGTCTCTTTGGCTGTCTCCGCACTCTCTTGAGTTCTTCTCTGAAGAATGCAACTTCCCGTTAACTCGAGCTCTACCTCTTACCCTCCTCTTCGCGTTGCAGCAGCTGCAGCAGCAGCAGCAGCAGCAGCAGCAGCAGCAGCAGCTGCAGCAGCAGCAGCAGCAGCAGCAAGAGATGTTGCTGCTGCCGGATTTGAAGAAGGAGACACTATGCATTCATATTCTGGGGGCCTCTGCCTATCACGAAGTTAGCTGCAGATTTACCTCCTTTTTAGACAGACAGCCGCACATCAAGACGCTGTTGCTGCTCTTTGTCGGATTTACAGATGAAAGAAAATATAAAACCAAGTTCGAAGGCAAGACCCCACAACTCCTGCTGCTCTTGCTGCTGCTGCTGCTGTTGTTGCTGCTGCTCTTGCTGCTGCTGCTGCTGTTGTTGCTGCTGCTCTTGCTGCTGCTGCTGCTGCTGTTGCTGCTGCTGTTGTTGCTGCCGCTGCTGTTGTTGCTGCTACTCTTGCTGCTGCTTCTGCTGTTGCTGCTGCTCTTGCTGCTGCTGCTTCTGCTGCTGTTGCTGTTGGTGTTGCTGATGCTGTTGCTGCCGCTGATGCTGTTGCTGTTGGTGCTGCTGATGCTGTTGCTGTTGGTGCTGATATTGCCGATGCAGTTGTTGCTGTTACTGCTGCTGCTGTTGTTGCTGCTGCTACTGTTGCTGGCGCTGCTTCATGTGATCCACCTAACTGCACATTTTGCTCCCGAATCCAGCTGCTGCTGTTGCTGCTGCTGCAGAGGATTTGGTGGAGGGGGAGTTGTCTCTCCCTCACTATGTAAAAGCGGATGGCCGGGAACAGGTTGCTGTCTTCTTTAAGGGTTCATATGAAGCTTTAACAAAGGTATATTTTGCTGCTGCTGCTGTTGCTGCTGCAGCTGCTGCTGCTGCAGCTGCTGCTGCAGTTGCTGCTCCTGGTCCTACTACTGCTGTTGCTGCTGCCTCGCGTGCCTCTGCTGTTGCTGTTGATATTGATGGTGCTTTGTTTGCTGTTGTTTTCCTGGTGTCCCTTGTGGAGTTTCTGTTGCTGCTGTTGCTGCTGCTGTTGCTTTTGCTGCTGCTGCTGCTGCTGCTGCTGTTGCTGCTGCGTTTTTTTGTCTCCTCTGCCTGAGGTTTGTTTTTTCGTGCTAAGTTTGGAATATATTGATGCATTTAAACATCAGCACTATCTTTTTGTTTACTGCTGTCTCCTCGGGTGTCTCCTCTTTATTCCTTTCTGCTGTCTGTCTCCTTTGTTATGTGTTATATATATATATAAATATATATATGTATATATATATGTATATATATACATGTATACATACATTTATATATATATATATACATATATCATATATATATGTATATATATACATATTTATATACATATATATGTATATATATATACATATATACATATATATATATATAAACAAGAGACTGTCTCTTGTTTGTTTATGTTGTTTGTCTCTTGTTGGTTTATATCTCTTGTCAATGATATTTATTATTTATTTTTCTTCTTCTGCTGTCTCTGCCCCTATCTCCTCTTCTTATCTTTTTTTTTTATTCTTTTGTCTGTCTCCCCCCTCATCTCTCCTTCATTTTTATTCTTTTTAAGTTCTTTTTATTATTTTTAATTATTTTTTAATTCTTTTTAATTCTTTTTGCTTCTTTTTTCTGTCTATCTCCTTATCAGAAACTCCCCGGTGTCTTATCAAACCCCCAGTGCACCTTCTTCCCCCACTTGGCTCTCTTCAGCACTTTGGGGGCCCTCCATGGGGCCCCTCAGGGGGCCCCTCAGGGGGCCCCTCAGGGGGCCCCCCAGGGGGCCCCTCAGGGGGCCCTAGGAGATGATATTATGGAGGCTTTGCGTCTTCTGATAGATAATAATGTTGTAAGTGTGTATAAGAAAGAAATATAACTCTTTCTTTATCTTTTTATCTGTATGTTTATCTGTTTGTTTATTTTTATATATTTCCTTCTCCCTCTTCGTCTCTGCAGGTTTTGTTGAGGCTTTCATTGCTGCCAGCAGCCTTGCGCTGCTGCTGCTGCTGCTACTGCTCCTGTTACTGCTGCTGCTGCTGCTGCTGTTGTGTCTTGTTTGTTGCAGCTAACAGTTGTAACGGAGAGCAGTGTTTGTACAGCAGAAGACGTTGCTGCGTACTCAAAAGTAGCAGAAGCAGCAGCAGCAGCAGCAGGAACAGCTGCAGCAACAGCAGCAGCAGCACCACCACCACCAGAAAGCAACGGGGCAGCAGCGCTGAAGCACCTCGGGGGCCGTCTGCTGCTGCCTCCGCAGCGAAGCCTCTACCCGCTGCTGCTGCAGCTACCTTCTCCTGAAGAGGGTGCAGCAGCTGCTAGGTTTGCTGCTAGGAATGCTGCTGCTGCTGCTGAAGCAGCGGCAGCAGCAGCAGAGAGAGCGAAAAGCAGGGCCTCACCAGAAGCCGCTGCTGCAGCAGAAGCAGCAGCACAAAAGGCAGCAGCAGACAAGGCTGCAGCAGATGCAGCTGCGGACCTAGCAGAAACTGCTGCTGCAGAGGCAGCAGCAGCAGCAGCAGCAGCAAACAAGCATCATGTAGCTTGTGCAAAGCACGGCAGTAAGCAACGCCTAAACCCTAAACCCTAATTATCGAGCTTCAACTTCTCTTCTCCTCCTTAGGCATTAGGGTTTAGGGTTTAGAGCTAGGGTTTAGGGTTAGGGGTTTAGGGTATAAGGCTTTGTTGCGTCTTGCTGCTGCAGGCTTCTTCGTGTTTAGGGGACGTGCCGTTACTGCTGCTGCTGCAGCCAAACAGTAGACTGGTGCTGCAGCGGCTGCTGCTGCTGCTGGAGCGAAGGCTACTACACCCCGTGCTGCTGCAGCCGCTGTCGCTGCAGCAGCTTTTTTGTTCCAGCAGTTGCTGCTGCAGCAGTTGTTGCTGCAGCTTTGTTGCTGCAGCAGTTGCTGCTGCAGCTTTTGCTGCTGTATCAGTTGCTGCTGCAGCAGTCGTTGCTGCAGCTGTTGCTGCTGCAGCAGGTGTTGGTACAGCAGCAGTAACTTCACGGCTGCAACTCGATTTGAGCTGCTGCTGCTGTTGCGCTGCTGCAAAAGAGCAGCAGCAAGGGAGGAAGGAGACAGTTAGTTGTGAATAAAATATCCGTTTAAATATTTTTATTAATTTATCTATATCCATCTAATCTGCAATATTAATATGTTTTTATTATAACATCTTTATACATATACATATATATATATGCCTGATACCTTCATTCAAATACCTTATTGCTAAGCCTAAACCCTAAACCCTAAACCCTAAACCCTAAGTAAACAAAGTAGGGGCCCTTGTTCTCTGGGGCCCCCAAGGGTTTCTCTTAATATTATTTGTCTATAGAGACGCCTCCTCGCTTCTTCTGCTAAAGGGGCCCCCCCCTCTTCATGTACCTGCTGGTGCAATCTGCACGTGGGGGTTCCCTCCACGGGGGCCCCCAGCCTTTAGGGGGCCCTCTAATGGATGGGGGGCCCCCTAAAGGCAGGGGCGCCCCCAATGGCTTGGGGGCCTTTAAGGTCTGGGGGCCCCTTAAGGGGCCCCTTAAGGAGAATGCAGGGGGCCCCTAAAGGCAACGGGGGCCCCCTAAAGGCCTGGGGGCCCCCTTAAGGGGAGGGGGGCCCTCTTTAGCGGCCTATGAGTACCTGAGATTCATAGATGGGCACCATATATTTAATATTTATGAAGGCGTCGGGCCCCCCTGTCTCTTCTAGCTGCTTCAGTGTCTCTTCAATCAATACCGCAACGTCTTCCCTGCAGCACAAACAGACCATGTGCCTTGCTGCTGCTGTTGCTGCTGTTGCTGCTGCTGCTGCTTCTGTTGCTGTTGCTGCTGCTGGCGGCTTGCCTTTGCATGGGTTTGTGTGGTGTGTTGCATTGGGGTGTATAGGCAGGTGCAGAGACGAAAAAGTAGCTATAGACAGCACAAACCTTCTTCTTTGAGAGTATTCTATATTGCTGCTTTTCCCTCTTCTGTTTGAAATAAATAAATTAAAACAGGGCAGCAGCTGCCGGTAGTAAGGCACCAGGGCCTCCCCCGCATGAGGCCCTAATAATATAATAAATAGCAGCAGCAAACAAGCAACAGCAGCAAGCAAATAGCAGCATCAGACAAACATCAGCAGCAAACAAACAGCAGCAGCAACAAACAAACAACATATTCCCTTCTAAAATAAAAACACAAACGATAAACCGGCTGTAGACAATCAGAGAGGGGCCCCTAAAAGAAAGGGCCCCCAATGGGGGCCCCCATAAGATAGGGCCTCTAAGGCAGGCCTATAGAAGAGAAAGCTCTTGAGGGAGGGGGCCCCTAAGGGGCCCCCTTATGGGGCCTCTAAAGGGGGCCTCTAATGGCTGGGGGCCCCTTAGGTTAGACACAGGGGCCCCCAG